AAGTGTGTGGCTGTAGCTTGCGATCGTGAGAAAGGTATACTGATCCACATTAGCCCAACTGACACCGTTGCTCTGCGACGAGGCAGAATATGCCATTGAGAAGGAAATAGGTTCTTTACTTGGTATGTACACATATCCGACTTCGAATACTAATATTTGAATCAAGTACTAATTGACCAACGGCTATAGACTGGAAGAAGTTCAATATCTCCGACCTCATCGCTGCCATCGTGCACCGGACGACTAACCGCATCCTGGTGGGAAAAGAACTCTGTCGGAACGAAGAATACCTTGCGATTACTACTAAATTCTCACGATCGCTATTTATCAGCGGCATCTTTTGGAACTTCGTTCGCTTGGGACCGCTACGCAAATTGGTCGCTTGGTTGACCATTGGACTTCACCTGAGGGACCGCAATGCCGCCGCAAATGTTCTCCTGCCCCACGTTCTTGCACGACGACAGGAGAAAGAAACTGGAGTTGATGTAGCCACCAAGTATCCCGATGCGCTGCAGTGGACCATCGATACTGCTCCGTCCTTTCCCGGAGACGATGAGCCCTTGCATCAAGTCTACCATATGCTGCATCTGACTTTTGCTGCGAGCAGTGCGTCCGGTGTTGGCGTCACCCAATGTGTGCTCAATGTGCTTGCGTATCCAGAGTACTTGGAGCCTCTTCGCGAGGAGATCTCCACTGTGGTCGCGAGACACGGTGGCTGGACCGACAAAGCTCTGTCACAGATGGCTTTACTCGACAGCTTCATCCGGGAAACTATGCGACTTCATCCGGCAGGTTCCTGTGAGTACCATGTTTGTTCCAACATCTAATAAGACACACCATAGACTGATAAGACTTTACTAGTGACTGTGGCTCGGACAGTCATGGACGACCATTTCCGATTCCACGACGGTCTAACCCTGCCTAAAGGAACTAACATCATCGCACCGGCGTTGGCGATTCACTATGACCCCGACAACTACGAGAATGCCCACCAATTCGATGGGTTCCGGTTTGCCAGATATCGTCAGAAGCAAGGCGAGAACCACCGATGGCTCGCGTCGACAATCGACCAGAAATTCCTTCAGTAAGTGTCCCTATTCATGATCTCGTTGTTTTAAGTAACTAATGTGATACAGATTCGGCTACGGCAACCATGCTTGTCCGGGCAGATTCTACGCCATTCGCAAGATCAAACTAGTGCTGGCGAAGCTGATTATGGATTATGACTTCCAGTGGGCCCAACCGCGCCCTGTCCATGATCGTCCTGAGGACTTCGCCATTGAGGCGCAGTTGGTGGCCGCCCCGGACACCGAAATCTTGATTCGTAGCCGAAACGTGTCTAAAGAAGACTAGAGATAAGATTCTAAAAGAGGAAATATTGAATGAAACTGGTTGAATTGTGATTGAAAGCGACGGTCTGATCTAATGTTGCCCACTAGAAACGTAATCTGAAACTCATAGACCAAGACATCATATTTATTTTATTGTACATCGACTGCGTCGACTCAAACACTTGGATGAGGCAATCTGCAGACCATGACTTACGGGATCGGGATCATTTGCACAAGAGGCGCAACTACAGTAAATGGTAGAGGAGGCACCTCCCCCATCTTCAAATGGCACAAGGAATCACCAGGCCACGGCAGCGCAATCCAAAAGGTGCCCATAACCCATAGATACCCGACGAGTGGCGCCCATCGGGGCTGATAGGAGCCATACCATTGCTTCCAGAGCCAGACGACGACGTCCTCCATCGTGATCACAAACGCCTGCCACGGGAAAAACAGGAAGATACCGACAGCGATTTCACTAGCAGTGACATTGCCCGGACGAGGCATTAGAAGCTGCGAGAGAGCGTGCATCATACCGGAGATGGTAAAGGCGAGCCAGAGTTGGGTGTAGGACGATGCGTTGGTCCCACGGCGGATTCCGACGGCGTCGACAAAGGCGCCGGTGATGGTGCTCAGGGACTATTCAATGGCATCGGTGAGCTCTGGACGAGGGAATAATTACCGGGACATGACATACCTTGCGTAGCATTTGGTGCCAGAAGGTCCCCCAGAAGTTTCGCACGGTTGTAGCCGCCTTCAACTTGCCGAACAAAGGTGGCCAGTCCTAGCAAGACGTTAGTATCGCTGTCTAATGCTCTTTCGTGATGGATCAGAAGCCTACCTCAGGCCGGCTAATTCCCGCGGCCACTGCCAGGATAGACACCACTAGGTACTGCATGTTGATAAAGAAATATGGACCCAGCCCAAATGTCAACGCTTTGAGAAAGCTCCATCCCCAACGAGCATCGCGGATAGTGATGTACTTGGAGTCAATATTTCCCACGGCTCCTGCAGCATCCGTGAAGAAGAAACGAAGGGTCATTTGGGAGACCAGATCCGCCATCAGCAAGACCCAAATCAATTCACCCAGTCGCCACCGCAGGAATCGAGCGCGCGTCATGCGATCTGGCATCCTCGGAACGTTCTTGACTTGGAAGCTCCAGCGGATACCTCGCAGATTCAACAAGATAGTTACGGCCCATTTGATCTTTCGCCATCCGAACACGGGCCAGGGCATGGCCTCGTGAGGGACACGATCCACTCTCCATAAGTCTGCCTCAGGTCCCCCGGGGGAGGCGAAGACAATCTTCTCTATGGCAGAGAGCCAATGCGGCCAGGCTAGCGCGAACAAATTGGCAACGCCGGGGTTATTGGTGAATCGATTGTATTGCGCAATGGCTGCTAGACTTAGAATCGTCGTCACAGCAAGAGCTCGTCGGCCATGAAACTGTGGGCCACTGAGGAGTAGGATTTGGGCACCGACAAGCAGAAGATGGGGAGTAATGGAGCCATTGGTGGGATATAAATCCCAGTTACTGAGGGACGATGTGTCTGCGTTGCTCGACATACTGGTTGCACAACCAGATTGATACTCATTTGATCGAGCAGAAGATGAATCGAGAGGGTGAAATAACAAAGAACTCCATTGATATACCCTAACTATTTGTAAAGACCGAAGACCACTCGGCGACCGAGAGAGCCTCTTTCCCATAGCCACTGAATTTACTGCTTTCCTAGAACTGTTTCCATTCGCTTGATTGCTTCCTCCGCGCGGGATGGCTCCAGCGCAAATGTCAACCTTGCCCAACCTTTCTGATCTTCATTTACGTGATACGCCTTGCCTCCACTCACATTAACGCCGGCTTCCTTCAGTTGGGCGATCACCGCTTTCTCATCCTCCCAGGTCTGAGCCTGCGGAGCCACACGGGCAAAGAGGAAGGGGGCGGAATTTGCGGGAATATATTGAATTTGATGCCTTTTCAGAAAGTTTGTCATGAGGCAATATGCTTGCTGTAGCCTCTTTTCATTCAATCGGAGAAGATCTGGGAGTCGAGGAGATGTGAGGAGGGCTGTCGATGCCACCGCACTGAGACTAGACGACTCAGTGTTGGATGCGAGAGCAAGTGCGACATGCATCGCCTCGTTAGCCTGTGTGATGCTACATCCCTGTATTCAGGCTATTAGCAAGAATAGAACAGATATTTTACTCCAGGAGAAATTACCACGCGGAAGCCACTGGAGCCAAAGTCCTTGCTGGTGCTCCAGAATGTGTGCACCCGAGAAAGATCACAACCAATTCCCTTGACATCAATTTGTAGCGCAGAGACGAATGGCGGTGCATCTGGTAGCTCGGGATTCTCGAAACTGGACAGTGCGTACACCTCATCGGAGATGTAATGGATGCCTTTAGAGTGACAGAAGCGGATACAATCCTCCATGATGGACCGGGGATAGCATTGTCCGTACGGATTCTGAGGATTTGTGAGAAGAAGACCCCGAATCGGAACTACAGCCTCTTCATAAGCCTTTTCCAGCGCTGGGATCAACTGCGCCGTCAGGGTATCTGCACTTCTTTCGACATGAACCATTACCGGCACGGCTGATGATCGGGCTGTGAAGAGCCAGTCAAAGCCATCTACAAAAGAGACGTCAGTCCGGGCATGGCCTTCACTCGCCATATGTGATACATACTCCAGAAGGGCGCCGGGACGAGAATGCCTTCGCCCGGTTCACAAAGATTGTACAGGAAAGTATTCAAGCAGGTGGCCGCACCAGGCGCTGTTGCGATATGATCTGGTTCCACCGGGATGTGGGGGTGGAAGTATTCATTAAAGAATGCTGCCAGAGCCTTAATCAGGTCGGCATCTCCAGCGAACTCATTCGGGTATGACAGGTGCTGTGCATCTCATATCAGCACGAACGAGTATTCAGGCAGGGGAGTGGAGGTGTACGTGAGGTTTCAACCCATCTCGTATGGCATCCTTGGTCAACTCAATGATCTCATTTCGCAACAACCAGTTCTCGGCGGTCGATAGATCAATGCGAGGTACAGTGGGTCGAGTGCGCTCTAGCAAGGCAGCGCGGATACCAGGCATGATCGCGTCAACATTGGACGCACCACGCTTTGACAGTCCTGCGCCAGCAGATGCCATCTTGTTCTGTTGGGGATATTTGATTTTGGAGAATCGTTACTTTTGCTTGGTGACATCTCGTGGGCGTGCAGGTAATTTCTACGAGTATAAGATCGGACGTGGTGATCGTCGGTGCCCCCAGCTTCGGGGGCCGAACAGCACTGAGCCCTCATCTATCTGCTACTTATCAACAACCTTCGAGATGCTAAAGCTGTCTCAACTCCTGTGAGCTGTTACGCTGTAAATTATCTCACAATGCAGCTGGCAATGTTAACACTAGCCCTGTGCTGGACCTATCCGGGGACTATCTATCTCTCTTATTTCCTTTCGAGGTTAGGGATTGCCTTGTACCGGAAGCACAGAGATAGCACCAAAGGCGCCTGGTATGAAAAGCATCGGAGAGCTGCGTTTACGGCCATCTTTTGGTTGCAGCTCGTACAATGTTTCGATTTGGTCAGTGGCAGAACTCACTTATTGGATGTGTTGATTAATCGTGAGCGTTGGGCAGGCAATTTCCATTACCACCACTGGATATGCAATGAATATCAGTCCTCAGGTGGAGGCTTGGTGGGTTGACAAAGGGTTCTTGGTATGTCCCTGTAAGCTTCTCTAACGCTCTGAGTTTCTGATAGGCGTAGGCGTCGAATATCGCGGTGTTCATGTTCCTGGCGGCAGGCTTGCTTCCAGATCCTGATGTGCCATTTTGTCCATCTCTGTCGCATTCCCATGCATGGATTGCAGGCAGTATTATGGAGGGACTTCAATTGGCGATGTTCTGGTACCAAGAGAGTCCAGCCTCTGTCATCTCGAGAGTTGAGTACCTTCAACTGGGACTGGTCATGGTGCGATTAGTCCTGTTCGTCGCCATGGTTGCATTCTATCTCCAGCCCATGTACGCATGGTCGCGGATCCAACTGGATGAAACCGAGCCGTTACTAGGGGAAGTGGATTCTAAACCGGTCCGAGATGCACAGCATGGTGGATGGCTGGACTATGTCGTTGGGTTCAGCACATTGTTCCCATTCTTATGGTCAGTTGTCTTTGTTGCCTCTAGGGGATGTTAACTAAACCAGGAAATAGGCCATCTGATTCTCGTCGCTTGCAACTCAGAGCCATATTCTGCTTCATTCTGCTCGTCATTCAACGTGTGGTAAATATCCTGGTGCCCCATCAACTCGGAATTGTCGTGGCCCACCTGGGCTCCGGCACAATCCCTTACCAGAGGATTGCCATTTACATTGCCTTGCGCGCACTTCAAGGACAGCAAGGCGTAATTGGATCCATCCGTGCCCTTCTGTGGATCCCCGTGAGCCAGTCGACGTACCGCCGACTCACGTCCTCCGCGTTTGAGCATGTGCTTTCTTTATCCCTTGAATTTCACCTGGGCAAGCGCATTGGAGAGGTCATGAGCGCACTCAGCAAAGGGAGTGCACTCAATACCTTCCTTGATGGATTGGTATTCCAGCTTTTTCCTATGGTCGCCGATCTGTGGATTGCTGCGCTGTACTTCTTGATCCAGTTTGATGCCTTCTACTCTCTCATTGTAATCACCGTGACTTGGCTCTACCTCTTTGTAACGATCTACATGGCCAAGTATCGTGGCCGCGCGCGCCGCGAGATGGTGAACCGGGAGCGGGAGATGGAGGCCGCGAAGTAAGTTCTCTCTAAGTCTTCATAAGACACGCAACAAGTGTATTAACCAAAGATAGGACGGATGCCCTGATGTCCTATGAGACAGTTCATCACAACTCGGCTGTTCCTCATGAGATCAGCCGCTTTAACCGCCTGGTGCAAGCTTTCCAAAAAGCCGAGTACTTTGTCTTCTTCTCGCTCAACCTGCTCAACGCCACCCAGAATTTGCTCTTCACGGCAGGAGTGGCGATTGTCTGCTTGCTTTGTGCGTATCAAATTTCCGCAGACATGCAGCAAGTCGCCATGTTCGTCACACTACTCACCTACCTGGCCCAACTTCAAGCCCCCTTGAACTTCTTCGGAAGCTTCTACACCCAGGTCCAGAATAACCTTGTCGACGCTGAGCGGATGCTCGCCTTGGTAAGTCTTCTCTCTCGTTGTAGGCAGCGACGATTGTCCACTGACCAAGTTTCACAGTTCAAAGAAAAGCCGCTGGTCCAGGATCGAGATGGCGCGATCGACCTCACCAGGTGCGCTGGTCGCGTGGAGTTCACCAATGTGAACTTTGCCTACGACGAGCGCCGTCCGGCATTGCAGGATGTGAGTTTCACTGTCGAACCCGGGACATCAACCGCTATCGTGGGAGAGAGTGGGAGCGGCAAGTCCACCATCCTGAAGCTCTTGTTCCGGTTTTACGATGTCGCTGCAGGCTCCGTTCGATTCGACGGCGTCGATGCCCGGGATATGACCATCGCCAGCTTGAGAAGCCACCTTGGCGTTGTCCCACAGGATACAATCCTCTTCAATGATACGTTATTATACAACCTGCTGTACGCCCGACCTCATGCCACGATGGAAGAGGTGTATGCGGCATGTCGTGCAGCCAGTATCCACGATCGGATCTTGAGCTTCCCCGACGGTTATGAGACCAAAGTTGGCGAACGAGGACTACGGTTGTCTGGTGGAGAGAAGCAAAGGGTCAGTCATACTATCGCTAAGTACTCCGTGGCCAGTTACTAACGATAGGAACTGCAGATCGCGATTGCCCGGACATTCCTCCGATCGCCGCAGATTCTGCTTCTCGATGAAGCTACGGCCTCATTGGACTCGCAAACCGAACGCCAGATTCAGGGGGCGCTGGACAATATTGCGAAGGGTAGGACGACTATTACAATTGCGTAAGTCACTTATTACACCTTCTGAAAGCGTGGATGTATATCAAACTTACTCCGGCCAGTCACCGTCTCTCCACCATCACCAAGGCCAACCAGATTATTGTCTTGCACCAGGGACGTATTGTCGAGAAAGGAACGCATGAAGAGTTATTAGCAGCGAATGGAATGTACAGCCAAATGTGGGCGAAGCAGACCAAAGCGAAGGAGAAAAAGGATTGCAATGCGACTCTGGTGGACATCGCTTGAATTATATGTATAGTTTATTTTGTTTTTATTTTTATATATTTATTTGACCCAGGAATTTCAAGTTCAGAACAGGAATTCGACAAAGTAGAACATAAACGCGAAGATTGAACAAGATAGTCATATAGCGAACAAAAGTCATAATCCCCGGTAGGAATGCGCAGCTTCTATACCGTATAGTATAAAATATTCAAAGTGGCCTTCGTTTATCTGATCATTGAATATAATTTTTGGAAGGACACAAGGAGTGCGGGTTTCTTGACACCAAAATATATATTCCGGAGGAAAGGGTATTCTATATCGACGGCGGGTTATAACAACTTAACACATTAGCAACTAAATTTATGGCTTCCATTCCAATGCGTGTGTAACTGAGAAAGATTATATCACAATACATAGCAGCCAGTTGAAAATCTATTGAAATGCAAGGTTAAGCTCTCTACCAACTCTGGAGGGTGGAAAGATTATTAAATCACGACAAGCTGAAGGCACAAATTGACGCAATCCATTTCTGGAGTATTGTGAAATTACTGTATATCACTTGTTGATTGATAACTGTGTCTATTTTACAAAGGCATACCCTGTGGTAGTTCTACCTCAACCTTAACAAGACATAGAAAGAGCCTATTGAACCTTTGATACTGGACCAGTCTCTACCCCTTCAACCGACGTCGCCGCACGATCCTCAGACCCCTCGAGGCCGAAGTCTGTCTCCAGCGTCGTGCGCAGTTCGATGTGCTTTTCCACCACGACCAAGGCGAACCCCAGCAAGGCAAACGCCATCCCCACCTGCCACACGGTCTGTAAGCTATCGGTGTAGATACTCCGAACAGCGCCTGCTTCCTCGCTCAACTGGGAAAGAAAGGAAGTACCCGCCAAAGAATAAGCGCCGCCGTGGGCGAGTTTGCCGCGCACGGTCGCATCGTGGACCCGACCAAGGAAACGGTCGACTTGGCCGTTAAAAACGACGGCTGGGATCTCGACGCCCCAGACGAAGCCGAAACTGCGGAGAAAGGCATAGGCACTCGTTGCAGCCGCATTGTCAGACTCGGGGAGCGCAGCTTGAATGGCAGGGAGAACACTCGTCAAAAGCAGTCCATGCCCGAGACCCACGAGACACTGCAAGATCACCCACTCGGCCTTTGGAGTCCCTGCATCCCAGGTGCTGAAAACACCCATACAGATGGAGAGGAGGGCAAACCCTGCCCAATGCAACGGACGATAGACTCCTGTTTTGCTCATAATAGCGCCACCCACGATGGCAGAGGGAATCATGAACCCGGTGAAGGGGATGACGTCGACACCGGACATGGTGGTGGATTGTCCCTTGACTGTCTGGAAGTACAGGGTCAAGAAGTACACTACCCATTGCATCAGCATCGCGGCGAGGAAGGCCAGAACGTATGCGGTCATGGAGGTTCGGTTGCGAAACAGCCGCGGGGGCATCGTCGGTTCGAGGCAGTATGGCGAGGCCTCAAAAATGTGAAAGAGGACCCAACCGAATGCGCCGAGGACCAGTGGAACCAACACTTGATACGATGACCATGGATGGACCGATCCGCCGATGACCAGAGCATACATAATGGCGCAGATGGCCGCAATGAAGATCGTATTTCCGACCCAGTCGACTCGGGCCAACGCCCGTCCCCAGCTGACCTCCCGTTTATGCTGCACATTCAAACACAGAATCAAAGCCACAAGGGCCACACCGGCACAGGGTAGATTGATGTAAAAGACCCATCGCCAAGTGGCATGCTGAACCAAGGCGCCTCCCACCAGCGGACCGAGCGAGATCCCCAAGGCGCATGTCGACAACGCAATCCCAACATATTGTGCCCGCTCGCGCAAGGGTACTAGGTCGCACACGATGACCTCCAGTAACAGAAGAATCCCTCCGGCCCCTAGGCCCTGCACGGTGCGACCGGCGATCATCATCCCCGTGGACGTCGCGCCGCCACAGATACCGCTCCCCAGTGCGAACAAGCACATGAGGATGATCATGGGATTCCGACGGCCCACAATGTTGGAGATCTGTCCGATCAGGGGCTGCACGACAGCCGACGCCAGCGTGTACGAGTTGGCAATCCATACATAGTTCTCGCCGCCATCGAGCTCACGCGTAACGGTGGGCAATGCGGTTGTAATAGCGGTGATATCGAGCGAGGCCACAAAGGATGCAAAGCACAAGGAGACGAACACCGCCCAGAAACGAGTGCCACGGGTGCCAGTTGACTGCCTCTCCGGTTGACTATCTTCTGCCGACGGCGATGGTTCGTCCATGACGAGTCGACTGTGCTCGGCCCGTCGGAGTAGGTATGAATGAGGCTTCCTGGAGACCGATGAGCCAATATCTTTAAGGTTGCACCAGGAACGAATAGTAAAAATACCCCAATGCTTCAAGCTTTCGAATAGGTGACACTATCCCCAGACGCTGGGTGTCTCGGTTTTGCCAAGGAGAGCAATAAGGGTGGACCTCTACGCCCGGTGGCCGAAGAAAGGGGCCCTCAGCCTCCACGAAATCAATAGTTTCATGCCTCCTTCGGGTGCCATTTGTCATTCGGGGGCCGTTTTGGGAACCGTCGAGGGTTTAAGCTTAGCCTCGAGGCATAGGTTGTGTAGGGCCTTCATTTTTGTTGCATTTTTGCTGCATCAGAAGTTTACTCTGATTGGGACTTTTTCTTTTTCCATGTCTTTTTGCCCCAAGGGAGTATTGGAGCAAACAAGTTTTTTAAGGCCAATTTCCTCTTACAGTATGGCTGGTTCGTTGGTGCTCCCTAAATTTGAGCCAGACCGAGACCGACTGGTCTGGTACTTGGCATATGGATCCAACCTCTCGTCGCAGACCTTTCGTGAGGATCGACAGATCACACCTCAAGCGGCTGTTGCCATTGTGGTCCCCGGTTGGCGTTTAACCCTATCGAGCGCGGGTTTTCCTTATCGTGAGCCCTCATTCGCGTCCATCGCAGCTGTTGGCTCAGCAGGACCCACTGACGAGAAACATGATGGACCGTGCGAGCTGCCCCTGCACGGGACGGCCTATCTGATCACTTGGACCCAGTGGATCAAGATCATCGCCTCCGAAGGGGGCGGGATTGCTTACGAGGAGGCTCTGTTACGGGGACAGCCAATCCAGCCACAGGATCAACAGCGCTGGGGTGCAGAACTCTCTGTGTTGACTCTGGTTAGCACGATGGAACGGTGGCCGGAGCCTCGACCGAGTAAGCGCTACATGGTTCGTATTATCTTTGTGCCGAATTGAGGCTGTTTCCCCCCGGTCGATCGTGAAGTTGATTTCTTATCCTTGCCTAGAGTCTCATCCTTGACGGAGCCCGAGCTGCAGGTTTTCCGGCCAATTACATTGCCCAGATTCGTCACAAACACCCCTGCTATCAGCCTCCGGCTACGACGTGGGAACGCATCGGTGCCACCCTCTTTCTGGGGTTCTGGACTCCGGTTCTAACGCTTCTCAGTCTCCTGACTCATGCCGCCGCTCGCGCTGGGCCTGGTGATGACGGCCACGTGCCGGAAGGAGTGCGAGCTCTGGTGCGATTTGCTATGTTTACTATGTGGTGGATTCACGACTTGATCTGGTCGAGAATTTGGGGTCGTGGTGACGGACTCTTTCCGGGCGGAATGCAACTCAATGGATAAATGTGGAGTTTTGCTCCTGGTCTAGCCGAGCAAGTCTAGACACATCACAGTTTAGCTGCATGTTTACTCCGTAGTTTCTTTGGAATGCGAGAGGAAAAGAACAACAATTTTAAATTAAATAGTCAACTAGTGCAAGAATCCCTCACGACGCGTCAATGGATCAGCAAAAACCAACACAATGACTGATTGCGAGCTCTGGATTTGTTATTTGACAGGCACCTTCAGAATTTCCCTTTTCTAGACCCGGTAGCGGCATTCGACGATCGTTGTTTGGAGCGAGGCGAAGTCTTTTTTTCCCCCACTGATTGGCGTCACGACGATCTGCAACACTAAAGTAGGGTTAGGGTTTAGGGTCGGGACGCTCGTGTGGATTACTGCTTCCAGCCGGACGCAGGAGAACTCTGAAGCTAGGGGGGGCAGCCATTGCATATTAACTAGGAGGAATTGAGATTAGCCTAATACTGCTAGTCGGGTGACGAGGAGCAGTCCTTTAATTGTGCTGGAACTTCCCTCTCACATCTCTCTGGAATTATGTGGGCCAGAATATTTTTATATCGGGATGTCCCGTCCCGACGAATCAGAACCGGCTATGATTTTCTCTGGCAGCCACGAGCGTATTACGAAATCATTATTGCAGGATTAGGTTGAAGAGCGGATCCCTGATGAAACAGAATTGCCATATAATCGCTTACGGCGGGGTAGTTTCACGGGCGTGGGGAGCAGTCCTGGAATCATATCTTTCTCACATTTTAACACACTGTCAGGCAGTCATTTAGGTAGAAGGCAGTCATACAAAGTATTAGATTGAGAGCTTCTTGCCTACTGTGATTATAGAGCATTGATGTAAAGCAATTTGTGAAGAAACTTGTTTGAAGGTGAGAAATTGGTAGAATGCTGGCCCACCTACCAGGCCGTACTAACCAAATCACCGACTTCAGCCGGCGTACATATCCCTGATAGATCCACCAAACCCCTTCAGACGAACCTTTTCAGACCTAGAACATGCATTGCATGGGGGCCAAATCGGCTTTGAGGCCCCCTGTGAGTTGATATCGGGAGTGTTGCCTCAACCACAGGCTGACAGGAACGCTAGTATCGGCATCCTGCGGTGGTAGAGGCATGGCGCGGCAATTGTGATCATGACCCTGCCAAAAGAGGAATATCGTCTAGATCTGTCAGCCTGTAGGCTGTGCTCTTTAGCAACTGCTAATTTGGGAAGACACAGACGGTTCTTTCAGTGCATCCTTCTGGGGAAGCTTATCCTGTGAAATATAAGGAATCAGCTTCATTCCCGTGAAAGATATTGCGTGCTTCACATCGAAACTTCCGTCATCCAGATGTCCTCTACTACTTCTACCACCGAGCGGTTGGTTTTCTGGAACAAATCTCCCCTCGAAACTTACTAACTCTGTTGGACCCGAAGAGCAGGTTCATCCACCAAGCCGGTACGATGGAGATCTGCCTGCAATCAGTGCCATGCAGCCAAGGTACGATCTACCAGGGATGTTACGCAGAAAGATGTTTATCTGACTGATAAATAGGTGCGGTGTAGCGGGGAACGCACCGGCTGTGACCGATGTAACAACCTCCAATATCAATGTGTCTATGCCATCTCGCGAGTGGGAAAGGTACCGGGAGTTCGGGCACGCGGCAACAAAGCCGTCCGCACGACGACAGAGGCACCACCACGACCTGAAACGGCGAGTACACTGCCAGATGCAGACAGCATTGTGGGGTTCCAGACAGACCAGCGATCGGAGAACGATCCCCCCAGCCGTTCAGACTTTGGGGAGGAAGATGCGGCTCCCGATGCGCTCTCGCCCAAGTCTCATAGCGCGCTGTTCCCCGAATGGACGGAAGCCAGCGACAAAAGTTTGAACACTTACGAGCCCGCCGATCTCTTCATTCTCCCCAGCCAGTTATTATCCTCCGATCAAGATCCAGGTCGATCCCGGGGCCACTCCTTGCAGCCTCCAAGCCACAGTGGCCATAGCATCGCAGACTCGCACACGCCCGGCATACCAGATGGTGGACTATTCTGCCCATTTAACAAGCCTACAACTCCAATCCCTGCGCTTCCTGACCTCGATCTACACATTCAGGACTTCCATCCGATGGATATTCCCGTCAGCACGCTCGACAACGGCCCACCGGTCAAACGACGCCCGTATTCGGATGCATCCTGTGGGCACTCCAGTCACAGTAACAAGGGATACATGAACTCAACGTTCCCCTACAGCGAACTGCTCTCTCAGATAGGCTGCCAAACAGACTGCGGTCGCCAACCCCACCACTACAATTACCGAAGCTGGACAATTCTTATCTGCAACCGCATAGTGGAGTTCCTCGAACACCGAATTCAGGGCGGCGTTGTGGCCTTGGATGTGGTCATGCAGACGAATAAAATTACTCTCGGGGAGATTTCCCGCATCCTAAGCAAAGGGGCCCACAAAGAGGGCTCCAACTGCGCCATGCTACTGCTAATCGCCATCGATCAGATTGTGACCTTGTTCGAATGCAGTATGCAGCAGGACTCCCCCGGCGACGGCGATCGAGCGAGCATCGGAGGCCGAGACTTGTCCGCTCTCGGGGATGAACTTACGGGGGCAAATGTCTTACCTAACCTTCGCTTTGGACTGTTCCAGATTAACCAAGACGAGCAGCTGGCCCTGCGGTCGTATCTCTTGCAACGAGAGCTCCAGCGATGCTTACAGGTACTGAGTAACTTGCGAGATGCGATTCCCTTGGAGCCCAATCCGTGCACGGCGCTGGAAGCGCGAGTCAAGAAACTTTGTTCCGCGATCTCAGACTCTCATTGACCCATGTATATCACGAGTTTCCTTGGTTTTATGTATATAAATAACGCTAAGCAATCTAAGCAACAAGCATGACACGACTAGCTTTTCATATATGACTAATCTTCCATTCTATTGCTTAATACTTCAATGGCGTCAATCGAACCTTTAAATCTCCCTTGTCCCACATCATCCAGACCTTTTGCTTAGCATGCCACTCCTTCGATTCTTCCAACAAACTGAACTCAAAGTTCCATAGCAATCGTGTGAGGACGAGACGCATCTCAGCATATGCCAGACTGGGTGCTGGTTAGTACATTCATCCGAACAATCTCTAAGAGTATATACACTCACTTCTTCCCCAGACAGTTGCGAGGTCCGTACGAGAAGGGCTGGTAGGCCTTGCGAGAGTCCTCTTGGTATCGCTCATCGCCGCACCACCGCTCCGGGACAAATTTCAAGGGGTCCTTGAAGTTCTTCTCCGAGGTCATGGCGGCCAGCTGGTTAACCCCCACGATATAACCTCCTGGAACGAAATTACCACAAACCATTGCCCCACCAGGAGGTGTAGTTCGAGGGAATGTACAGGGGACCGGGGGATAGATGCGCATTGCCTCCTGCAAGACAGCATGCAGATATTCCATGGATTGGGTGGAGCGCATGGTGATCTCTGGCTCGGTTTTAAAGGTGGCGTGGATTTCCTCGCGAAGCTTCTGCATAACCATTGGATTTTTCAGTAGATAGAACAGAGTTCCTATACCGTGCGACGGCACACGTGTCAGTTAAAATCATCACCACCTTTCTTGCCAACCGGAGAGATCGTACCAGAAAGAGCTGATGCCGTGGTTTCACTGCCAGCCATGATGAGGATCTGCGCATTGGCTTCTATTTCCTCCGGCGTCATACCCTTTTCCTCCGTTGCACGGAGAATATATGTCACTATGAATAGTTAGGAAGACCCACACCGTGACTGTGATGGACGACATACTAAAGTCTGGCCGGGTAGTCTCTTTCGTATATCGCTCGCGGGCCTTCTTCTGACAAAACATGAATTGCTCCTGCAGATCTTGCTTCTGTTGTAGTCCGGCGATAGCGAGGATCAGTGAGAATAGACCGGGGACGCGGCGGATAATCTGCATATCCATGACGGATTTGATGGACGTGAAGATGAGCTCAATCCACGGGTGCATCACACCACTTCCCAGACAGCCGAATGACTCGCCGAACGCTAAGTCTCCGAGTATGTCGAAGGAAGTGAAATTGAACCAGCGGACCATATCGACCACCTCAGACCTTTCACCGCGTTGGCGGAGTTCGTGAATCAGTTGGTCGACATACCCGGTGATGATGTCCTGTTGGCTTCCCAGCGCCTTATCGGACATGGGGTGAGACAGGAGACGTCTGAATCGTCTGTGGACATCATCTTTGGCGACGATCTACATATTACACGGTTAACGCGACCTCCCACATTATTGGTGGTGTATCGAGTACATACAATCGAATCGACTCCATTCGGCGCAGGTGGGAAAAAGGTCAGATCCTTTTCAAAGCTCTCAGTTCGTTGGCCAGTTCGGTGGCCTGATTCCACAACGAGACCTGTTAGTTTTCGCTATGTCATGGCTCGAGGGATGTCTTACCGCAGATATCTTCCCATGCCTCTGCCGTATTATACGACAGTTCGTCTGGGGCAATCCGAACACAAGGCCCGTATTGATCATGCAGTTGCTTTGTCTTTTGCGGCAGAAGACCGATTTTCACATAGTAGGAGTAATACCAGCGGGTGGCACGAGCCAGCCAAGGGCCAGGATAGGAGCGAAGAGGGTGAAGGTACAAATTGTAGATTGTCTTTGCCACAACAAAGAAAACCAGCTGATGGTTGGTGTTTTAGTTAGTCCTTTCGCAGTTGGATGGGGACTGTGGACGTACACCGTAGATGATCGTCAAAGGCCCCGAAGAGAACAACATTATGCCCCAATACTGTATCGGCCACTAAGCGCAAGATAACGCTCAATCAGAGTAGAAAGGACGTAATGGAGGTCCTTTAGTCGATATATATATCTCCGTCGTCGGAATGCACGATCGACGTTCGGTCTCCGAAAAGCGAGAACAGACATAAAACGCCCCAGGTTACGGCCCATCGCTTCTGGTACGCTCCAAGCGGCAGTTACATTCAAAGATGAGCATCATAATGAGCGAGATCGGAACTGTGTGCTGGACGTACGTGGCAGCGCTGGCTGTCATCCTGGTGATAGTTCATCGCGCTCGCCGCCAGCATAGGATCCCAGCTGTGGGTGACGCTAATGGCTCCAACCTTCTGGAAGCCTTGAAGGAGGGCTCACAGCGAGTTAGTTACTATCCTCTAATGTGACGAGAGTGAAATCCTAAGCCAAAATAGTATCCCGAGACATGTTTCCAAATTGCGACTAAGGACATTCCGACGGTGATTGTGCCACTCAAATGTCTCTCTACCATAGCATACGCCCCAGAGGAGAAGCTGAGTTTGGGCCGCGAAGTGTACGAACGTCTCATGGGACGGTATACCAAGATGGTGAAAAGTGACCATCTGGCTGAGTTTGTCCGAGCTGGATTGATGAAAAATGCTGGTAAGAGCGTTGCTTTGCTGCAGGAAGAAGCTGAAAGGACGGTCTCATCGGAAATTGGTCGTTGCCCCGGTAGGTTCTCATCTTTTCCAGTGCGAGCCAAACAACTGATTGCCCTCCAGATTGGAAGTTGCTCGCCCTCTTCCCGACCATGATTAAGCTGGTGTCATTGCATATCAGCCGCTCGTTCATTCAGTCGCCGCTGTCTCGCAACCAGGAATGGGTAAATGGGTGGCTGTTCCTCTTGGTCTCACGGATAGCTCGCTGACAGCCACAGATTGACCTCACTCTCGACTATGCCATCTCTACTGTGACAGTAGCGGGAAAGATGTCGAACACTCCTTGGGCACTGCGACCATTCAAGGGGATCTTTCTGCCCGAAACGGGAGAGATGAGCCGTCAATTCAAACGGGCAACTGAGCTGTTGCGGCCAACGTTAGAAGCCCGTCTACAGCAGAAAGGTGAAGTGCCTAACGATCTCATGCAATGGATCATCAATAACTATCCGGACTACAAAGACGACTTGATCCTTCATACGCGGTTGCAGCTGGAGGCCGTTCAAGCGGCAACTTATAATCTTGCCTTCCAGGTAGGAGGCACTTGAGGAGCTCCCTATACGATGACATGACTAATAGAATATGGTCTGCTATAGCTTGTCCATTTCTTCTATGATCTGTTGGCCCACCCAGAGTATCTACAGCCGTTAAGGGATGAGATCATGTCGGTATCAGAATCATGCAACAGTCAATGGACTCCAGCCGCGTTGTCGAACCTGCGGAAATGCGACAGCTTCTTGAAGGAGTCGCAAAGATTGAACCCGATCGGAATTGGTAAGCCTTTTGCTCTATGAAAACGGTGAATCGCCACTAATAGAGGACTGTTACGCGTAGTCAGCGTGAGTCGCTTCGCACTGTCGCCATTCCGACTTCCAGATGGAAGCACAGTGCCAGCTGGGGTCTCGGTCTCGGCGCCATCCATGATGGTCAATTTAGATGAGTCACTTTGGACAGATCCGACATCCTTTGACGGCTACCGATTCGAGAAATTGCGCACGATCAATGGAAATGAGCAGAAATTCCAGTATGCGTCGACTAGGTATGATTCCTGTTTCTATGGTATTTGCTACAACTTTAGGCTAAGTATAATCCAGTGCATCGGAGTTGAACTGGGGATACGGCACTCATGCATGCCCTGGCCGACATTATGCCAGCAACCAGATCAAGCTCATGATTATGTCCTTGATTTCCAGATACGACTTTCAGTTTGACCATACACAAATGGATAAGAAAGGCATTCTTGAGAGGCCCCCGAATATGGTAGATGGAGTTCGCATCATGCCAAACCCTCTGGCGATGGTGATGGTTCGGTCGCTGGGAAACGCTACGGAGGGCGGTGATTAGATGTACGGAGTAGGCTTTATGAATTATGGGGAGACTACATAGTCGGAATTGAGTCAAGATTTCTGAAGCCATGCGTCCCAAAATGAGAGATGCCAGTGTTATGTCGGAGACCGGTCTCTTCGTCGGTTCCCGGGGTTGCGGGCGAAGCAAAAGAATCTCCGTCGCGAGAGTTATATTAGAGCAGCCCCATGCCACCCCTGGTATAGAAGTCAATATCCCCAAGCTCAGTAAGAATAATCAAGATGTCTATCCCAAACCAGTGCACAGTGCTTGTCGTGGGTGGCGGTCCAGCTGGCTCTTACGCCGCCGCCGCGTTGGCCCGTGAGGGAGTGGACACTGTCCTCCTGGAAGCCGATGTCTTCCCCAGATACCATATTGGCGAGAGCATGTTGCCATCGATCCGACATTTCCTTCGTTTTATTGATCTGGATTCCAAGTTCGACAGTTACGGCTTTGTGAACAAGGTTGGTTTCACCTCTTTGGTGCCCGGCTAGAAATCGCCAACAGAACTAATGTTCTAATAGAATGGGGCTGCTTTTAAACTCAACTCCAAGCCAGAAGCTTGTAAGTAATCTCCGCAGGAATCTACAAGAAACGGTTGAACTAACGGGCTATAGACACCGATTTCATTGCTGCTGGAGGTCCGGGGAGCCATGCGTGGAACGTCGTGCGGTCCGAAGCAGATCACCTCATGTTCAAGCATGCAGGAGAGAATGGCGCCCAAGTGTTTGATGGCGTCAAGGTGAATAGCATTGAGTTTGAACAGATTGACGAAATGACGGTGGATCCATCGCTAGCTGAGCTGGGACGTCCCGTTTCCGCAACTTGGTCGTGCAAGTCTACGGGCGAAAAAGGTTCGATCGCCTTCGAATATTTGGTCGATGCGACCGGACGAGCTGGTCTGGTCAGCACCAAGTACATGAAGAACCGTCGGTATAACCAAGGCCTGAAGAACGTCGCCAGCTGGGGTTACTGGACCAACGCCGGCTCGTACGGAGTCGGAACGCCTCGTGAAGGGGATCCGTATTTCGAGGCAATCGAAGGTACGTACGCTGCTCAGCGATTGGTTTCATGCCAGGCATGTTAGCTCACAAAAATGGCTCTGCAGATGGAAGCGGATGGGTCTGGCTCATTCCCTTGCACAATGGCACTACGTCTATCGGGGTCGTCATGAACCAGGCGGCTGCAACGGCGAAAAAGCGTGAGACAGACTCAACGACGAAGGATCTTTACTTGAACACAATCAAGAACACCCCCGGAATCTGGCAGCTTCTGGATAAGGCCGAGTTGCAGTCAGACCTCAAGTCGGCATCCGACTGGTCCTACAACGCTTCGAGCTACGCCAGTCCTTACCTACGAATTGTCGGTGACGCCGGGTGTTTCATCGATCCGTTCTTCTCATCCGGAGTACACCTGGCCCTTGCTAGTGGACTATCAGCTGCCCTTACCATCCGGGCTGCACAGCGAGGTGATTGCAATGAACAGGCCGCCGTCAGCTGGCATTCTAAAAAGGTGGCCGAGGGCTATACCCGCTTCCTTCTGGTGGTGATGAGTGCACTGAAACAGATCTCTGACCGTGAGAAACCTGTCTTGACCGACTTCGATGAGGACAGCTTCAACCGTGCCTTTGACTTCTTCCGCCCAAGTAAGCTCTTTTCTCGTATTGCTCATTGGAGCACCACACTAATTCAGTAAACAGTCATCCAAGGTACAGCCGATGTGGACAAAAATCTCACCCAAGCTGAGATCGCCCAGACGATCGAATTTTGCGTGCAGGCGTTCCAAACCGCTAGTAATGAAGAACAAGATGCCGTGATGACGAAGGTGGCTGCGATCAACTCGCAAAACGGCACGGAGGGCGCACTGAGAGAGCTCCATGCCAGCTTATCGGCTGACGAACGACGCACTCTCACCACCATCCAGGCTCGCCAGATCATTCGATCCGAGGACCAGATGAACATCGATAACTTTACTATCGACGTGATCGACGGCATGGTGCCTCGGCTGGAACGGAGGTCCCTGGGTCTGGCGCGGTTTGTGCCCAAGACTCAGACAAGCAGCGAGGATGGCTTGCGGGCGACTCTGGGCTTACCGGAGAAGCAGAAATCCATCTTTTCCTACTAGCATGGCGATGATGTACTGTATTATGGGTCCAGTTAAAGGTTTAGGGTTTTCTGTCAAGTCATGTTTGTGTTTATTGTCACTTTCGCACCATCACGCTTTCTTTCTCGAATCGGGATGAAATCACATAATGACTAAAGTTCAATTCACATTCAAAATATATTGATCCCCTACCACTTCATACTACAGTGTTGATATATCTATTTGATGCATATAGTCTGGTGAAAGTGACGCATGTTGGCTGACTTCACCTCGAGCTAATCCCGAGTTATTCTATCATGTTCCATTTCTCATATCCATACCTCTTTCCGCGGGTGTCCACCTTAGATTGAGTACCGATACTCCTTGACCTGATGACCCCTTGTTCCCATGAGCAATCCAATTGGTCCATAGATAACAGTGTGCCATGCTGTGGCTCAGCAGATATGCATGACGTGTGAAGGTCATCACCGTTCTATCCTGCCTCACGACAGTTGCTGACATGTTTCGCAAGATGGCCCTATGCGAAGAACGTATTTCACTAGCAAGTCAAAGGTTTGTAACGGGTAATCGGCCCAATTCTGACAAGAAGCTGGCTTTGGTGGACTTGAAACAGTATAATTACAAAGTGATACGAAAGCAGCAGACTGAGACACCCTGAGAAGGCATTGCCCCATATGACATTGGCTGAAGCCTTAGCCAGTAAGTAAACTAACTCATATCGTGTGCACATGTGTTAATGTGGGAAACCAGCTACAGCGTAGTGGTAGTATGTGAAATGAATGCCGTGACTGTTGCACCCAGGAAGTCGGTTTTAAGGCCTAATATTTGCTTCAATTGTGCAATGTCAGATTCATTACTAGTTGAAAGAGAGCGACAAAAGCTATGGGACATTCCATGACAGGGAACTCTTAAGTTGAGCCGTTCGAAATATTCTTCAGTGCGGCAATGGAAGGGGTGAAGAAGTACTCCCCCCCTCTAGGAATCACACAGCAATGCAAATCCACATGGATGTTCTTATTCTTGCCATCACACAATCCCATCACAAACGGGTCCGGCCCATTAGGCTGACCACAGATTGGATCGGCTCCCGGTCCTGGATCACCGGTGATACGCTTTTTGCCTGAGGGGAAGGTGTTCTTGTTGCACCACTCTGGATGTAGTTGTCAGAGGACGTGTTCTATTATAGTGTTTAGGAGTTGGATCAATGTGGATAGCTTACGCTCTTGGATCCTCCGGAATCCATTTGAGATATTGCTTTGATAGCAGACAAACAACATTCCACGATCTTCCTTCGTTGTTTGCTTGTCTTGCTCTTCTTTTGTGACCTCCGGGCCATACGGTATGCCCCGCCGGATGATTGCACTGCTGAATTTGTCTGCCAGATCGCCACGCGGTCTAGCCTTGCGTATATGCGCGGCGAAAGGGCAATGCTCTTGGGTATTGGTTGGTAGATAGTCAAAATTGTTATTTTCCGCCAGAGCGGGATCGTCTTTCCAGAGAGTGTGGCACAAGGGAGCTCCTACTTTACTTTAGAACTTATCACGGAATGGGGTGGGAGAAGTTTTCCAAATACATACCACTTTTCCACCGGCCCATCAAGCGTGCAGAGAGCTGATCGGCAGTCAGGTCGTGCTTTGGGGCCGTTTCATTCAACCATCTAGGCACCAATGAGTTCGCGATAAGAAGATAGGGCAAGTATTGGAGACTTACTTGTTAAACTCCGGCACTAACTGTTGCAGCTTGCGGAAGACCAGGAAGCTACCTTCTGTCGCCCAATCCGGCTGAGGCGAAGGGTCTTGGTCGGTGTTGGTGATAATATAACTGGTGGTCTGTAAGCATCCCTTCACACTCTGATACGGTTTGTCGAGAAAGCTGTCCCTACCCCGGTGGTACTGGCGGAGGTTCTTTATCCCCTGTGGGGGACGGGTCCAGCCCGACAAGTTGAGGCTGGGAGATATGTTCACGGTACCCAAAGCTACTATCGGTTAAGTCTGATCGCAATGCAGTGCACTGGGAGTGGAGCTCCTTACTGTTCCTTATTGCTCTCCTGGCCCGGACGCTTATATCCAGGGATCGTGAAGCGGTCTTCGATGCTGGAATTGAACCAGAAAAAGCCGATAAAGTGAGCCTTCACCTCATAGAGCTTCGCATAAGCGGTCCTCTCGGAATCACCTGTGACTAGAATTATGCCATCGATGTCGTTCTCCTTGAAGCGTTTCTCCCAGTCATCTGGATTATCCCGGCCTTCACCCCCAGCAGTCCCACCTTGCAGATCGGCAAGCATGCCGCCAAGAAAGGGACCGGCCTTCAAGCGGTCATTCTCATTCTTCACTAGCTGGAGGCTGAGATTAGCGATATCTCTCACGCTAGGATGGGTCCCGGGGGATAACGACTCGCTTACCTTCTTCAGGCCATTAGCGCTGAAGCCAATATTTACCCCGGCCAGTGGAATTGTTGCGGGGTGTGTAAGCCCATTAGCCACTGCCGCTTTGTGTTGCGCAATTTGGTCTCGAGCTTTGAGGGCGCTATTTGCCGTAGTTATATGAGGAATCAGGTAGCGCAGATGGCGCCGGAAGCTGTCCGTCTTGGAAATCTTGAAAAAGTAGAACAACTCAAACTCCTTGGGCAACCCTGGCCTATGTGAGGTTAACATTGTTTCCCGAAGACAGACCGCTCCCTAGAGCACACACCATATGTTGCCCTGCACGTTGTCCTTATTAACTCCAGTCGTCAGATTTTCCTCAGATGCCATTTTGATAATGAGAGTGTAGTAGTCGAGCAGGTAATACAATAGCCGCACGAAAGAAATAATCGGCACACATGGAACTCAGATAGAGCTGGCTTTATAGCTTAAATCGACCTTTCGAAGAGACGCCATTATCGGAACACTGAATGAAAACCTTCAACACCAGTTCCGCGCAATGCCGGACTTGTACAGCTAGCAATACTGGGATATGCAACACCATGGTTTGATGGCACGCCATTGCGTGTATGACTCTGATTGGAACTGGAGGGGAAACGTTAAGAGGTTGTAAGGTAAAGATACCAAATTGACTAATGTTGCATCCTGATGTGACAAACCCATCTTTCTTTGATTTGGTTGGTGGTCTCGGGTAACCGACCAAATATTGAGCCCGGAGTCAAGAAGCGGTTGACGCGATGGTCTAGAAGGACCGGATCTGTATATCCAAGTGAAGTAACACCCTTTTCCTTTCCGGCCTCTGGCCAGCTTTGATCAATCGCTTGGGTGTAAGGAGGGTTTCAACTTTACCTACACGGTCTGGCGTCGGGGACAGAGAAACGGATATGCCGCTTGCAGAACATTAATTGACGCAATATATCGGATTAATAACCAGTCCACCTATGCCCACCGATTAAAGCCATATGTTTCGGGAAATGAGGTCATCACTCCAGACTACTCCTATAGCACTGTACAACGTTTGTGGACTCATGGGGTCAGCTCATGTCAGCTCATCTTGCAGGAAGCGACTGCAAGACGCTATGTGGGAATAGCCAACCTTCCTCATGTCCCGAGGAGACAGGTAGTTCGCAGCCTTCTCTACTAACCAGGTACAGTTGGGTACAGCTCCTGGTAAATCATAACGCGACGAGGATAGGACAACAAACAATGATGGTCGACGCCCTTACTTGGACATAGTTTATCTTTTTTTTTGAATGCCGTGGAAGCGAAAGAATCGACCAGCCTACAAAGCACAACAGGAATGAGGATTGAATGGAGGTGACTACCTATCTGAGGGCTCAGGAATTTCAATATACCTTTTTGGTGACACATAGTTCAACCCCAGATACGGAATTGCATCGGTAGTAGAGAGGAGGCATGCCAGATTGAAAAGGTTTGATTGTATAGCACAACATTCTATTTCCGAGAATTCAGTCCATATGTCAATATCCCGCAATTCAGCATTTCTCTGGTCATTCCACTGCTACGCTTGTAATGCAGATCCCTCTAGACCTCGCTAGCCCATACAAGGGTCCTAGGATATTATCACTTGCTGCCGTCTCTAAGATAAGCGCTTTGTGGAACAGAACTGTATACATGTCCCTGACCCAACATGCTGAGAAGGAATGTATCCTGGGGACACCGTGGGAGAACAATGATAAGTAGGGAAAGAATTGCTTATTGGCGGGCGTTGACTTGATTTCTTTTAACATGCCACCCCGATCGCCAGCCGCTCGTAAAACTAGGGCGGTGACAGGGACTCGACCGTGCATTCCATATGGGGAGTGTCACTGTCTTTAAGTGGATGTTGGGATATGCGGCATGTGTCACGCTGGGTGGGACACGGGAAATCCCTTCATTCCTGAACACCAGGCATTCTAGTGCTTGATTGAATACAGATGCTCGGAATTGGTTGCTCGAGCTTCCACTGACCACGATGAAGTATATATATCAATTCAGCCTCCACCCAGGGAGAGTACGGGTTGGGATATCATCTTTATTCTTACCCTGAACCGCCTGGAAAGGGGCGATGAAGCAGAAGCCAAGAATGGGTCTCAAGTGGACATCGGTATTGTTGCTCGTCGGCTTATCCAAAGCGGAGAAGAGCGTCGTGCACGGGTCCCTCATATCTGCCGTAGCACAAGGAGTGTCTCTGGGTATTGAAGGGAGTGGTGCCCCCGTCGATACTGGAGGAGAGAATACAGGCTTGTATCAGTCTCCACCTTACAACAGCGTGCGGATCGACCGTAGCAGCTGGATAGCAACATGCGACAGCGAGCAGGTCGGACATGAATGTATCAATGCGATCGACGGCGACAATACCACGTACTGGCACAGCGGTGACGACACCAACGGTATTGCGTCGCTTCCTCACAACATCACTATCAATCTCGGGACAGTACAGAATGTGAGCGGGATTGCCATGTGGCCAAGAGCCGTGGAAGATGGTTGGATTGGGACACATGATGTTTCCCTGAGCACTGATGGGGTAACCTGGGGAGACCCAGTCGCACATGGGGCATGGTGGCCTGATTCGACCGTAAAGCTGGCTGTGTTTGAGCCTAAAGCGGTGCAGTATGTGAGGCTCATTGCGCGTTCCTCGTCCAATGGAGACAATGCAACTAGTATTGCAGACCTACAAATCTGGTCAGCGAACAGCATTCCCACAGCGCCACAGGGAAAACGCCTCAGTGAAGTTGGCGCCTGGGGGCCAACGATCGACTTCCCTCTCGTCCCAGCCTCGGCGGCCATCGAGCCCAGTTCGGGGAAGGTGCTCGTCTGGTCGTCGTATCGAAAGAACCAGTATGGAGGTACCAGTGGTGGCTTAACGCAAACTGCCACGTGGGATCCGAATACGGGCGTTGTCTCACGGCGCGAAGTCTCCGATACCGAGCATGATATGTTCTGTTCTGGCATCTCAATGGATGTCAATGGGCGCGTTATCGTCACTGGAGGAAATGATGACACCATGACGAGTATCTACGACTCTTTCAGCGACAGCTGGATCCCAGGAGCACCCATGAACATCGAACGTGGGTACCAGGCTTCGACCATCCTGTCCGACGGAAATATGTTTGTTCTGGGCGGTTCGTGGAACGGGCCGCAGCTTCAGAACAAGAACAGTGAGGTGTATAATGTCACGGCAGATACTTGGACTCAGTTGCCGAACGCCGGCTCACAACCCATGCTAACCCACGACAACCTGGGCCCCTATCATGCAGATAACCATGGCTGGATTTTCGGTTGGAAGAACCTCTCGATCTTCCATGCCGGGCCAAGCCAGGCCATGCACTGGTACTTCGCCCAGGGCGAAGGAAATGTGACCGATGCAGGCAATCGAAGCACGGACTACGATCAGATGTCCGGCAATGCGGTCATGTTTGACGCCACCGGTGGGAGAATCCTCACTTTTGGAGGTTCCCCAAACTATGAGGATTCGGATGCTACGAAGAATGCAACTCTCATCACGATAGGGGACCCTAACACCCCACCGGTGACTGTGAAAGCAGGTGGTGACATGGGATATGCGCGGACGTTCCATACTTCGGTTGTCTTGCCCGATGGAAGTGTTTTTATCACCGGTGGCCAGGCACATGGCCTGCCCTTTAACGAGGACACTGCTCAGTTGACGCCAGAGCGATACATCCCTGGGGAGGACAGATTCGTTGAACACTTTCCGAACAATATCGTCCGAGTCTATCACAGCTGGTCCCTTCTTCTCCCTGACGCGACGGTGATTAATGGTGGTGGTGGATTGTGTGCCAACTGCAGCGCCAACCACTATGATGCCCAGATCTATACTCCGCCATATTTGTTTGACGCGGATGGTAACCGTGCCCCACGGCCTCACATCGAGACTGTGGCCCCAGCCAGCCTTCGGTATGGCGGTCAAATTACTATCACTGCCGATTCCCCCATCAGTAATGCCTCCCTGATCCGGTACGGCACCACAACACACACAGTGAACACCGACCAGCGTCGCATCGAACTAGTGCTCCAAGATGCCGGGACCAACATGTACACAGCAGATATCCCCAATGATCCTGGCGTTGCTCTTCCTGGATACTACATGCTGTTCGTCATGAACGCAAACGGAGTGCCTAGCGTATCGAAAAACGTCCAAATTACTCTGTGAGAAGCCGCGATTCTCGAGACAACAAGATGGTCCGGACTGAACCGCATCAGAAACCGCAGATTCGGCGACTACGTAGAGGACTCACGCTCGGGGCAAGGAGTTTTTGTTGGTTAGATTGAGAAACAATTGTCACTTAATTTCGGTTTTCAGACTGACAAGGCCTGCTGTGGAGAATGCTATAGAACGTGTAGCGCAATGTGAAAGACCGTTAGTAACTGCTAGCTCTACAACAAATATGTAGAATGTTCCAACCTGGATTTGCACATGAATGTTTGAAAAAAGTCATTCATTTTTATTTGCTGCACTAAGCCTTCTCTTTAATGCATGTATCATACATAGCCTGCAATTCCGGACCTCAATTTGGAGGAGGCTTAACAATACACAGTATAAGATCAAGATAGGATAAACAAGACCCTCCTATCTGGAAAGCATGCTTCACACACTCCGGCGGATTCGTCTGTGGCCATCGCACTTTAAAAACCCGGATCCGGAGAAAAGGGAGGGACGAGCAGAATGAGACAGCATCAGTTACCCTCATGGCCCCTGTAATCGATAGCAGAGCTATATTTCGGGTCATAGTGCATCGCCCAGTACTCATCCCATATCTTTGTCGTAAGGGGGCCAACTTTTCCATTCTGGATCGGTTTCCCATCGAGTTTTGTGATAGGCATAATGCCACCAGCTGTAGTACACATGAATATCTCATCGGCGTGATAGGCATGTTCGAGTGGCACCACCTGAACGCGGACCTCGATGTTCTTGGCCTGGGCAATATCAAAAACACTCTTACGTGTAATCCCTTCCAGAACACCACGGTCGGGCGTGTAAATAATACCATCTTTAACCAAGACTATATTGAAACCGGATCCTTCTGTGAGATTGGTATCTCCATCTGAGAGAAATGGGTAATCCGCGCCACGGTCCGCCGCTTCAAATAGACCCCGCGTCAAGTCCCCCCACTGGAGATTCTTGATGGTAGGATCGAAAGCACCCGGGGGAGTGCGCCGTACGGTACGGGCAATGATCGCAGTGCCTCCAGTATGTTGCATGGCGGGCTCCATCACCCAGACATACGGCATGACGATCAGATAGAGATGATTGTCAAAAAGATCCTCTGGCTTATTGCCACGGACCCCTTTCAGGCCACGGGTGACGATCAGCTCTACAAAGGCATCTTCGATTCCACTCTTAGCAACCATCTCCCTTAGGGTTTGCTTCACCTCGTCCCTGGCCAGTGGGATTTTCAGTCTCATCTTTTCACAGCTATCTTCCAATCGACTGAGATGATCATCAAGGCGGAAGAAGCGCCCATCCCAGACCGATGGCACATCGTACGTGAGGTCGCTATGCATGAAACCCTCGTCGAGGAGTGGCACTCGTGCGTCAGCGAGCGGGACGAAAGATCCCTGGACGTAGGCAATTCCTTTCGCAAAGCGGTTGTCACTGTTATCTAAACGAGCCTTGCGCTCGTAGTAACCGGAAAATACTTTGTTCATAGATGTCATGGTGAGATGTCTGTATGTTCGACTGAGGACGTTACCAAAACAAGCGTCTGATTATGAGAACGTTGTATCTATAGTCTCTGGTGGACCGATACCTCGAGCATTGGAAGAGAACAATCGAAGTTACTTTGGCGCTATGGTAGAACGATGTGTCTGGTTTCACCTGCTGGTACGCCCACTTCCGCATGACTCAATGACTCCAGGCTCGTAAAGTAGCAGTGGACTATGGATGATCCGTCTCCGTGACTACGTAAATTGGCACCGCTCTTGGTTGGCTATTCTTCCCGGGTCTAGTCTGTTCTATGATGGATTGAGAATCAAGTCGTCACCACCTGTGTATGATCGGCACACCTGCTCCGGCTGCCCTTCAGATCCTCTGTTGTGACGTATTGACTGAGCCTACATGCTCTATCCGATTCTAGTATGGTTGCCGTGACTTGTCTCCCTGTGCAAAGATCTACATTTCTATGTTTCTGGTTTAATGCCGTCCACGAGCCAATTCATGACTTCAGGACGGTGTAGTTCCTTTGAGTCCCACACCCAGCTGTCTCGTGGAGAAGGCAAGGCTGTTGCAGTCATGCTCTGTCTAGGATAATTATTATTCAGGGACAAGATCTATCGCATGGGAAGAAGCATATATTGAATAAAACCTGTTGTAAATGTCGGCGTGAACACGGTCAAGACATTGCAGCCAGAATTCAGTATACCGATAGCATCATGACAAGCGGAAATCAGTGCCCTGCATAGAGATCGTTATAAACAGCAGAGATGAGTATAAGGCCACTAGGACCGTGTAGGTGAACTGCTCCAGGCAGGTGATGCGGCTTCTTTGGTTCCTCGGCGCTGCCTTGGAAGAGCAAACCACAATATCAAACACAACATAAACATCGCAAGGACAACAGGGTGAAGAACCTTGATACCATGGGCTTTTGCGATTGCGCCCGTGATGAAAGGGAAAATGCATCCACCCGCGCTCCCCAGAGCACAGGCAAAGCCGACGGCTGCAACATGGAGATGCTTTGGCAAGAGTGCGGCCTGGGCAATAACCGCTTCTGGGTAAAGGGGCCCCAGGAAGAAACCCAGTAAGGTCACTGCGATCATGGATAGGTGGAGTTCCGTGGCGAGCCAGAAACCAATATGGCACACCACACAGGCCAGTAAGTACACAACAATAACAAGACGTTGCCGCTTGAAGTAGGGTGTGATGAATCCAAGGCACACACGGCCAACGGTCAGTCCTCCCCAATACATGAATGTGACAACGCCTGCCACAGAGGGTGGTGTATCCCGGAGATCCACGAGGAACGTGAAGACCCATCCTCCAACGGTGACCTCAATGCCCACATAGACTAACAGGAATAGACTGATGATCCATGTCGAGACCAAACTTAATGATTCAAGTGTTGGGTTCTTTGGTGTTGTGTTGGGTCTCGACGAGTCTCGGCCATCTTGTTGCACGTTGTCCCCAGGAGCACCCAGTTCGCTGGCTTCAACCAACGAGCCTCTTGCTGACCAGAATGCAGCGACCGAAGTCACAAACTCGACGGTTGCTGCAATACCCATTATATAGTAGAAGTGGTACCACATCCAGTCTCTCTGGGTGATCACGTACGTGGCCGTAAGCGGTGCCAAAGCCGCCCCCAGACCATAAAACGCGTGGAGGATCCCCATTAACTGGCTGCTATTATGCATTGCACCAATCCAAGCATTCCACGATGCATCCACGATGCCATTTCCCAGGCCAGCCAGGATGAATATCGTAATAAGAAGCGGGAAGGGAGGGTGCTGGGTCGTGGCAAAGTAGGAGATAACATGCATCCCCGTGCCCAGCAAGGCAATTCCGCGTTGTCCGAAGCGCTCGTGTATCCAGCTATTGGCCATGGCAGCGGTAGCGTAGCCAAGAAATGGCGAAAGGAACACTACGGAAACTGTGGTATAGTCTGCGTCGTAGTATCGGCCCAGCTATTAAGAGATGAAGGGGATAGAAAGTGGTTAGCAGCCAATATTCAGAAGGTGCCGCGCATGTATCCGACAGATGAACCTACATAGTGAATCATGGCCTACCGATAGCAAGCCTGTTAGCACAAGCTCCCTGAAAATGGACTTCTATGAACCACTTACCCCGTATGCGCCATCGTTTGCGCCGACTACAATGAAGCTGTAGAATGTAGCCAGGACACGCCACAAGTTCACTGGAGGTTCATTCCACCTTTCTGGCTGCTGCCCTGAGTGGGAGACGCCTGCCTCACTGACATTATCCCGGTCTCGTCCAGCTGCCTGGTAAGACCCATAAGACACATAGGCCGAGTCTGATAATAGAGGAGCCTGTGACGCCAAGTCCTGCTGTGTGCTCATCATTCATGCGATATCTTTCCTTCCGGGATGCGATGTTGCATGTAAATAAGGCAAGGATTTAGGCTTTAATTACGCCAAAATGCTTGGTGTAGATGTCAACGTCAGAGGGTAGGAGGTGCAACAAGCAGGCCAGCAGCAAGCAGAAAAGAAAGGGAGGGAGGGAAAGGAATGGAAATAAGAGAAAAAAAAACGGACACAACCGACGGAGGCAGAGGCAAATCCTACGCATCTAGTCTTACTAAGCGTATAGGCACATGGCTATCAAAGTCCCTCACGGCTGGAAGGGTTGCAACGCATCAGAATAATGAGTGTAGGAAACGTTTACGTTACATCTGTGTCTAGGGAGTGCCATCTGGAGGTTTCTTTTCACTTGGATATAGATTGTGCCACTAATACAATAGTCATGAGGTAATTATCAGCATAATGCTTGCAGGATTATACTTTTGGTCGCTCCCAGTCCGTCCTTTTTCTTTGCCCTTTTTTTTTTTTTTTTTTTTTGCTTGCTCCTTCTTGGATAATTCAACTAAGAACAAGGTAAATCAATGTAGGCAAAAGAAAAAGAAAGGCTAGACAATAAAACATTCCACAACCAGTAACACTTTACATAACTAGCGCAGCTACATCTTCAAATACACTGTCAATAGTTTGAACCAGACGTCTCACGATCTCGTCCACATCTTCTTTATGGACAATGTACGGTGGTGCAAGCAACAGGTGGTCACCATTCCAACCATCAACCGCACCAGTGGCGGCAAATAGGCAGATATCGTATCCCCTTTCCATTCCCCTGGACTGCATGCGCTTGCTGATGGCGAATGCCGGAGAAAAAGGAGTCTTGGTGGGTGGATCAGCCATGAATTCAACTGCCCAAAAGAGACCACGCCCTCTGATATCTCCGATGTATGGATGGTCACCCAGGTGTAGCTTTAGTTGTTGGCCCAGATACTGACCCATCTTGCGACAGTTCTCAATGAGGTTTTCCTCTTTGATAATACGCTGGACTTCGACTGCTGCTGCGCAGCCCAGGGGGTGGGATTGGTAGGTCTGACCGTGGACAAAATACCCACCACCGTGTCTCAATCCATCCAAGACACGGTCGTTGACAAGTAGCCCAGAAATGGTTCCATATCCAGCGGCGAGACCCTTTCCTACGAGCTCAATATCTGGAGCGACGCCATCCTCCTGCCAGGCATGTGAGATTCCGGTCCGGCCCATGCCGCACATAATCTCATCGAAGACCAGGAGGGCACCATAGCGGTCGCATACATCCCGCACGGCTTGCAAATATCCTGGTAGTGCAGTAACACAGCCCAGGGCCTAAATGTTCAGACAGATCAATCTCTCATCCTAACCACCTAAACCATGCTGGGGTCCATGATCACCTACCGTCCCGACCATCGGTTCCAGGAAAACCGCACAGACCGTTTCAGGCCCAAGTCGTTGGAACTCGTTGTCCAGCTCCTCCTTGAGTCGAGCTACATATGTCTCCGGATCCTCATTTTCCATGAGGCCGTGGTATGGATCGCACGCTGAGACATGGGAGATATTAGAGGTCAAAATGGAATCAAATCGACTCTTCCTCGGCTTAAAGTCTCCTAATGCCAATGCCCCTAAAGTGCACCCATGCCACGAACCGTGCCTGGAAATGAACCTGGTTCGCCGTGTGTTCGGCGACTGCTCCTCGAAGTACTGATAAGCCAGTTTCATCGCCGCTTCGACGGCTTCGGAACCTACGTAGCCCACGAATTTAGTTCACAAATTCCTACCGAATGGTCCCTTGACGCGAGAGATGATGCATGGAAAAAACAGAAGAGGGGAGTTGATTGGTTACCAGATCCAAGAATGCACGCCCGAGACAGCTTTCCTCCTGTGGACTCGACCAAAAGATCTGCAAGCTCCATTGCTGGTGTATTTGGGAAGAATCCCGGGTGGCAGTACTCCACTTGGTCAAGTTGGGACATTATAGCCTTCTTGACACGACCTACGCCGTGGCCAATTGCAGAAACAGCTGCTCCGCTCGTGGCATCTAGTATCTTCTGTCCATTTTCGAGGTAAATATAGATGCCCTCGGCTGACTTTACCGAAGGGACCGTTGGATCATGAGTGACATTCTTGTACAGGTATGCTGGCTCCGCCGCGGATCCCATTGTACTGTAATAGTATCGGTTGTATCTTGCGGGGGGTTTGAATAATGAGAATCTCTTAATCACGAAATCGTGAAACCGTTGGGCCTTCCACACGCTTGATTAAATAGTTGGGTCTTGGGCAATACATAGGTATATCAACATCAGATGCTTTTTTTTCTTTTTTTTACCGAAGCTTCCGATCAATTTCAGTCTACATGGTAAAAGTAACTACGGTAGCCAGTCAGTATGGCTAGATTCAGTTGTAGCCTTCGCATCAATACGTTTGTCGTAGAGGGTTTGGCAAGTCTAGGCCTTATGCGACAATTGTGAACCATTGCTTTCGTGAAATGCTACCTATTCCGACTCTACATCTGTAGATTCTTCGGAGTTAGGATTCCTTCCTCAATCCTAACAAACCATGGGTCACCACATTGCGTTCCGCGTGGAAGGCTGATGGCGTGTCTGCAATTCTTAGCATACTCCAGCGCAATTCAATATCCACATATAGCATAGGTTGCATCAATGTATCCAATATAATGTTACCTTGCAGGTTCAAGCTAATAGTAGTGACTCATAGAGTATAGCCTTCCTCGAATAAGTGATGATCTAGGGTAGTAACATGGCATCTACAACGATGTAGAGAGAAGTGGCTTGCGCAAAGGACACCTAACACCGAGTGCTGAATTGCATATGTGACACGAAGCTCAGGTATTTAGCTAGGTGGGTATTGAAACCATCGCGAATAGCGGAATGTTGCATTCCCAGGGTTCCGGGTATGTGGTGTGGTGTGGCATGCTCCGTTTGCGTCGAGTGCAGACAGCAATCCATCTTAACTGGAATATGTAGACGGGATTTAAGTTCAACCTTCGCTATATGACAAATGCTTAATTTACGGACCTATGCTGGTCATCGATTAAAATGATCAGATCTCGTATACGACTGGTTAATGTATAGGTCGCTCAGGCAGTGGAAGCAGTCCCTTTCGGGTAGGAGATAGATATCGGCTGTCAGTACAAGACCCACAGGATTAGGTTGTCATATGCAGAGTGAACCAGAGGTTGTGCAGAATAGTTGACCCACCTAGAGCACAGTTATTGTGGGATATGGCATTCAAGTACCCGACATTGAGCACTGGATACGCCGGAAATGTGGTTACATTCCCTGGATCTGCTCTCAAGGCTAGTGACACCTGAAGGATCGCTGCAAATGGCAACTTCCGAACTTTGGCCCTCTGAGAAGCTAGATCTTTATCTTGTCCATATCTTAGTATACCTGGAAGCTAGATAAGGTTCCTCATTACACGAGAGATAGAAGCAATTATAGATGGAGCTACAGGTGTAAATGTCATAAGATCGCAGTTCACGGCTAGGCCAATCTTTCGCGATAGGTAACTTCGGAATAGGAAACCTTCGTAGTATTTTACCTCATACAGATCTCTCTGTCATGTATGTAATGATCATATACGCAACTGGAAAAATCTAAGATCTCATAGCTGCCCACCACCAGGCTTACCGAGGAGAGGGGCACCCAATTGTCCTTAGATAAACTTAAATGTTAATAACACCAGTGGATACGTTTCGATACCCTTGCTCCTTTCTATCATCTGTTTAGGTGCCATTTTTATCCATTCGACTGTTCTTGAAAGATCCTCAATCGTGATCACAGGCGGCATAATGGAGTCCCCTGAAAATGAGCTGCTGTACCTCAAGGAGAACCCCAAAGCTATCTTTTTTACAGACTTTGATGGAACTATTACTCTGAAAGACTGTATGATACTCTTCCCTAAGGCTTTCCTTGATCTTTCCCTTTTACTCCCATCGTCTGGTTTCCCTCCGTCATGATACTCAGACACGCCCGTCGCTGAATGCAATCTAGGCAATGACTACCTGGTACTATGTCGACCCCAATATCCAATCTCCGTAGCTTACCAGGTGTGAAGGTGGATAACTTTGGGTTTGGGATGGAAATGCGACGTAAACTGGAGATAGAAGTCATGAAAGGAAATATGGCTTTCAGGTAAGAATTCGATATCCGTATACAATTTCTGTCATTTCAGACAGCAACTTGACCAACTTCACCAATAGAGATGCATTCCACGCCATGCTCCAGAGTGTACAGATGCCGTTAGCGGATTGTCTGCGAATTGTACAGGATAATATTCAGCTTGATCCACACTTCCTGGATTTCTATTATTGGGCAAAACGGTGTAATATCCCGATAGTTGTCCTCTCCTCTGGGATGACCCCTTTCATAACCATGTTGCTGGAATCCGTTCTGGGCAGCAATCCAGAAAATATATACGTTGTTGCCAATGACGTTGAGCCTCACAGCTTCGGGGACAAGACGACTGGGAGTGGATGGCGGATTAAATACCGTGACGACAGGTAAGGGCAACAGATTTGCTGAGCCGTTGAGTGAGTCTTCACTAAACCGAAATGATGAACTACACAGCGCCTTTGGTCATGATAAATCACTCGAGATCAAGCCGTACTTTGGGCTACCCAGCGGAAATTGCCCTCTACTTTTTTACGCTGGAGATGGCGTCTCGGATTTATCTGCCGCATCGCAAACTCACGTTCTTTTTGCAAAGGAGGGTTTGGGTGAGTTCTCCTGGTGAATTACTTTCACAATCTCGCATCCACCTGCATGGTTGGCTACTTGTAATTGATAATAAGCGAGCCTAACGTATGAGGTAGACCTAGTGGATCATTGCAGGGAAAGGGGAATTCCGTTTATCCCCTTCGACAACTGGAGCTCTATTCTTGACACGATGCAAGGTATTTACGAAGGTCTGTCTAGGGCAGGAATCACGGGTTATTCCAACGTTGTATAATAATCTAGCAGACTCCGTGACCTGATACGCTGAAGGGCAAGCCGCTTATGTCACTTTATTCTCCGGCCAAAGTCCCATGTATCTGCAGGATATGAAATGAACTTCTGCGTACATTCTTTTTCTTTTGAGTTGAGACTCCCACGGGCAACATCATTATAGTAGTATGATTGTGGTTGGTATTAGGGATGTCCAACCCTTTCCTGGTTCCCCCTCGTGTGATATCCAGAATATCTAATATTTTAGAGACTGATCTCGGTTGAGAAATCTTTGTGAAAAGATAATATCTAGATACGGTGGTTCAGGGTTGATGCCTGGGTATACTGGAGACCTTCGTATATAGGACAGGAAAGTACAGTTAGAATATTGCTTTAATACCCCAAGCTTCCCAATCCATTGTCTCTCCTTATTCATTTGTGTATTGTCCGTAGAGACTCGAGGCTGTTAAGCTTCCCCCCCTCACACAAAATCTTTTCTTGTAAATCACAGTGTAAGATGCTTGGGAAGGCCTTAGCTTCGATTCGAAACCGGCAGTTCGACCGAAATAAGAAATGAATATTGGAATGTCGCCATGAGCTTGTGTATGCCTAGGGTTTATAGAGAAGATATCATCACATCTTTACATGTCGCTTTCCTGTTCTGCTTTCAAGCAGAATACCGGATGGCTATCGAGCTAAGGCACTTTTATATTTTGTCAGGAGACATAAATGTATGGGTATAGAGTATTAGTGTTGATATCATTTACTCCCCAGAACGCGGTGGATTGGAATTCAGTCAGGGTCAATAGCTATGGTCAAATGATACAGAGCGCTACGCAACTACCACTACTATACTGCCCGACTGGGAGTACAGGTTCCACATCGCCACAACATCTCCAAACGCATCTCAGACCACCACGACCGTGTTCTATGTATCCTCTAGCAGTCTCATTATAGCCTGGTTCTTGTTGAACCAGTCCCAAAGCTGAGCTCCCGAGAGATCCATCCCCATGTCCACATCCCCAAATACCGTAGGCTCGACCAGCCCATCTACAAGGCCTATTCTGTGCCTGTCAAACTCATCATGTGATGCTATGTGGCTAGGGGTATCTGCAGTATTCGTGGTCCCCAGGTCTCCCGCCATCCCGCCAGGGTGCAATGTATCAAGCCCACGACCGTCCAAGGTCGTGCCGGCCAATGCGTCGGCAGACTGCGGCCGAGCCATCGGCCAAGGCATTACCCCTGGCCCACCGCTTGTGCGGGATTTGACCTCAACGTACTTAGCTGCGACGTCGTACAACGCCCGGAAGAGGCGACGTTGTTTGCTGCATGTGCTATGTGCGCTGGGATTCGAGGTAGACTCGAGCGTCTCGACGAGACCTTTCATTTGCTCGAGGTCCGAGGCCTCCGACGTTTCGATGATGTGACAAAACAGTACAATGAAGGGGATGAAGGGAGATTGGGTGATGGTCCTGCATCTCCCTGTCAGATCGATCTCGACGAGAACAGAACGGGGCATCACCGTTAACGAACCAGTTGATGTATGCTTCGAGGAACACCGTCTTCCCTCGCGCTTTGGTGATCACAGCGACGCATTGGTCGTGTTCATGGAGGGTATCCCTGGCGGCGGCGATGCATTCTTGACAAAATGCGGACGTGGATGGCTCCTCGGGGGAGATACTCCGATAGATAAGCGTCAGCATGGAAAGGCCGATGACTCGGTCGGAACGTCTTGCGATTTCGTGGTAATCCAGGCCCAACACGTGCCCTTTGCTCGCCTCGTAATGGTCCTGCAGCCAGTCAGGCGTCGGCGGTGTCTCGAGGGGGAATGGGGCGATTGCATGATCCTAGGCATATAGCTGGCATGAACTCACGTGGATATCTTGCGCATGTTGCATGGCCGTTTTCAACTCGGCTGCCAGAGCCCGAGCACGAGTCGTGCGGACGTGTGGCGGTTGCCTGAGGGCTCCTGGACTGTAGACGTCATCGTATATCCGGCCCTGTATACTCGCCATGTTGATCCAACCGGGGGCCAGTTCAGCCAAGAAAGAGCCATGGGGATGTTCCATACCAAAATGGCTCAGAGTGATGTCCTGGTCTCGGAAGGTCGATGATCGGCCGAGGCGGAGGGACAGCATCTTTTCGGTCATGTATATGGTGGAAAATAGGTTCCTTTTTTGGGCCGTTTCTTCTGGCCCCTCTGTGTCGGCAGGAACGTTATGTTGCAAGCCCAGGGCCTGTACCATGTGCGAGGCGGAATTGATGAAGTTCCACGCGGCAGATGGCTTGTTCTTCTGAAGGCAGTACAGCGACTAGTATATACGGTCAATGGGAACGGGGCCTTTCGATTGACTCGTAGGACGAACCAGCAAGCTACTTACCGCCATGCCCATCGCGTATGCGAAGTCCATATCGGTTGGCTGATGAAAGCGAAGGTTTGCAAGGACCGTCTCGAGGTTCGCCGCGCAGATGAAAGCCTGCGCGTCGTAGTCTTGTTTTGTGTCTTCGTTCGGGATGATTTTGGAGCATTCACAGAACAGCCAGTAAAGACCGCAATGGACGATGATCAAGTCGGCTTCGCTCGCTGAACCAGGCGATGCGACTTTGATTAAATAGTCGCTGAACTGGCTGGGTTTAATATAGTCCCCCAACCATAGCGTGGCCACTTGCGGGTATTCTCTGGCCATACGTAAGCACATGAACACCTTGTCAATCGGCGGTAGAGGAAGATTCCGAGTCGTTGAGCCGGATGGGATCTCCTTAGCATGAGGATAAAGTGTACTGAGCGTATCAGCTTTTTGGTTCCCAGAATGAACGGCAGTCTTGAGGCCGTTCAGCACGGCTTGCATCTCGTGCGCGACCTCGGCGTTAGTCGCGCTGTCAATGGCATTTTGCAGAAACCGACTAGCAAAGATCGCGTGGGCGAAAAGAGACGATTCCCCCTCGTACTCCGCTTTGCCGTGCACTTCACGAACACCTGCACCAGTGGGACTGTATGGCAGGGAGCCTTGGTGAGGTGTAGAGCCGAGTGACGGAGTTGATGGTGTTGGTCCGAACGAGGAGGATGAACAGCGCTCCTCTTGGCGCATGTTGATAGAGTCCATAAAGTCGAAGGATTTATCGGTTCTGCTTTTGGTCGGTTCATGACTCAACTGGCGCACCCTCTGGCTGAGCTCGTCGAGTTTCCTTGATATTTCATCCAATTTAGAATCACTGGATGACTCTTAGCCTGGTATTCTGTCTCCCTCCGGCTTAGTGTCTGGCAGGTACTTACTATGTCTTCGAGACCATGACCCTCTGTCGCCTTTCTCTCGGCTTGGGGCCGCTTGCGTATGAGCATTGGGTCCCAGCTTTAACACAGTGACCACACGGGCTCCCCCGGTCGCATTTCACCTGGACACGAAATTAGACATTAAAACCACCGAAGGAGGGAGGGCTTGTCGTCGTTCACCTTGCGCTGGCGGCAGCGATAACACTGTTTTCGCAGAAGCTGATCAGTGACATGATATGGTTTCACATAAGATGAAGTACATAGCGGTCAGCTCACTGCTAACTTCTCGGTCGCGGCAGGATGCTGTTCTTCGTCTTCGTCCACCCGCAAGGACGAGACATCCGGACTGTCTTCCATTGAGAGTGCGTGAGCGAGCGGTAGGCGCGAGCTTCCACTGTCAAGGTTACGTGTTCGTGTCAGTAAAATTACTAGTAGAAGTAGAAGGCGGAGACATCGGAGGATGAAAGTGAGCGCGAGGATCCGAAGGCGCTTCCAATGCTGAAGGCTTGGCGCGGGTCGTCGGGTCTTCGGAGGCTCGGAGACTCCGCCCTCTTCCTCTCCCTCTCTCTCTCTCTATGCCAACAACAACATCATCATCACCACTCCCATATTATGGAGACCGGACGTGGTTACCTCCAAGCTCCCGAGGTATTCTAAGGCTGAGAAGATAAAATGCTGACACTCTCAAGGCAAAGATTTGGGGATGTCTTTCGTTCAAGTACCCCAAATTGGTTCCATTCTTTTTCTCGTTCTACATATATATATATCTACTTCTCTACTTCCAGAGTCATTCCATTTTGCCAATTACGTTGGGTCGAGCCATCCACGCTCGACATCTCACTGTAATCATCTGCTCCTTTATTTTTCTTCTTCCCAACGCAAACATGGTCGCTCATTTAGACCGGCGAGACGTCGAGGGAGCTGCCGAAGTAGGCAACGATACTCAAGTCTTAATCAAGCCTGAAAAGGAAGAGGAGGAGTCTGCCGAGAAGAAGAATGGTACAAGTGGTTTCCTGGTATGTCTGGCCGGAAAGATGAGGACTGAATGCGTACCGGTACGAGTGATGGCTGACGAGCTGGGACGATTTACCTGGCAGAGAGTGTTCACCTTCGGCAATCCCAAACTCTACGTCCTTGAATGTATTGCTTTCGTTGCTGCTATTACGTCGGGCGTTGCTGTCGCGATGGTCAACCTGGTTATGGGAAACTTCTTGACACTGCTGAGCGACTTCAGCTTCTCCGACATGACCTCAATGCCAGGAGACTTCATGGCAGCGGTGCGGACGTCGGCGTAAGAGCATATTGCGCCCCCTCCTCCCTGATTTGTCCCCAAACGACGGGCAAGGATCATATGCTAATGCAATTAAAGCCTGTACTTTGTTTACATAGGTATCGCCCGCCTCGTATCTACCTACATCTACGCCTCTCTCTTCACCTACGTCGCGTACCACTTGACCCGTAATGTCCGACAAAGCTATCTACGGGCTGCCTTGAGCCAAGAAATTGCATACTATGACCGGGGCGTCGCCGGCTCCATATCTCAACAAGCGACCACGAACGGCAAGCTCATCCAGTCCGGCATCGCAGAGAAACTCGGCATCGTCATCCAAGCCATTGCCACCTTCGTGGCAGCATTCATCATCGCATTTGTCACACAATGGAAGCTGACGTTGATTCTTATCTTTATTGTGCCCATTCTGCTCATTGTGCTCGGCACGGCCAGTGGCCTTGACGCCATCATCGAGACTAAGATCTTGCAGATCTACGCTCAAGCCGGTAGCTATGCCGAGAGCGTCCTGGGAGGGGTCCGGACCCTGCAGGCATTCAGCCTTCAACCAAGGGTGGTAGCCAAGTACGACTCGTACCTCCAGCATGCGTACACCCAAGGAATGAGAAAGAATAAGCTATACGGCATCGTCTTCGGAGGACAGTATTTTGTCGTCTACGCTGGCATGGGCCTGGCCTTCTGGCAGGGTATCGCCATGTTCGACCGCGGCGAGATATCCGATCTAGGAACCGTCTTTACGTCAGTATCTCACCCCAGGCGAGCGAGCAGCCAGACTGCGAGCCGTTTATAGAGATCCCGAGACTAACCAAGACGACAGTGTTCTCTTTTCCATCATCATGGCTGCAAATACGGTCATGCAAGTAGCACCGCACATGGTCACCTTCAGTCGCGCGGCAACTGCAGCTTCGGAGCTATTTGTTCTCATCGATAGACAATCGGAGATCAACCCCTTCGACGAATGCGGATACCAACCTGAAGTGACTGCCGGCTGTATTGATTTGCACAATGTCAGCTTCAGCTATCCTACGCGTCCAGATGTCCCTGTCTTAGAGGACTTCAGCTTGAATATCCCCGCAGGCAAGGTCACAGCATTGGTGGTGAGCAGTCTCCGGTTGCACCTGTCCTAGAATTCTCTAATAATATGGTGGTTCAAAGGGACCATCTGGCTCAGGAAAGAGCACAATCATTGGCTTACTCGAACGGTGGTATAACCCCCGCACTGGAAGCATCTCCTTGGATGGCAAAGACATCAGTCAGCTCAACCTCAAGTGGCTACGGACCAACATCCGTCTAGTGCAACAGGCAAGGCACCTAAAGGTCGTACCACAAACGTGCAAGACACCACTCGCTAACGATTCCAGGAACCGGTGCTCTTCAACACTAGCGTGTTTGAGAACATCGCCAACGGCCTCATCGGCACCCAATGGGAGGCTGCATCGCAAGAGGAGCAGATGCAGCGCGTCCAAGAGGCCGCGAAGCTCGCCTTCGCGCACGAGTTCATCCAGACCCTGCCACAAGGCTACCACACGCGCATCGGCGAGAGAGGTGGCCTGCTCTCGGGGGGACAGAAGCAGCGGATCGCCATTGCCCGCAGTGTGATCTCGGAGCCCAAAATCCTACTACTCGACGAAGCAACCAGCGCGTTAGACCCGCACGCCGAGGTGATTGTGCAGAAGGCCCTCGAAAACGCCTCCAAGAATCGCACGACCATTGTCATCGCCCACAAGCTCGCGACCATCCGCAACGCAGATAACATCGTCGTCATCTCTAAGGGTAATATCATCGAGCAAGGGCGGCACGAAGACCTGGTATCCAGGAACGGCGTCTACGCCTCTCTCGTCAAGGCCCAAGACCTAGCTCCGGCCAACATCGAGATCGGCCACGACCTGGGGAGTACCAGGACTTCTGATGAGGTTTCGGAAAAGAAAAACTATCATGTCGGTCGCATGCAATCTCTTGGCAGGATTCGGACAGCCGAGGCGCAACAATTGGCAGCATTAAGGAACCGAGAAGAGTACGACTTGTCCAAGAAGACGGACATTATCCACAATATTTGGAAGCTTCTGAAAGGGACGCAGGATATCTGGCTTTGGTTCGCGGTCACAATAGCCACGTGTATCGGGGGAGGTGAGTGGTCTCGACTGAGAATGGCTCCCAAGGTCCAGCCCTTGATAAAACGGTATTGTCGTTGCACTTGCTCACCACGATATCACTCACAGCCGCCGTCAACCCTGGACAGGCCCTCTTGCTAGGCAATATCATGAGCGTCTTTACTTCGTCGAACGTCGTAACTCGCGGTAATTTCATCTCCCTAATGTTCTTCGTCATGTCGCTCGGCATTCTCGTCATATACTTCGTCATGGGCTGGTCGACCAATACTATCGCACAGGTGAGAGCTTCCATGTCTTCGACGCGGGAAGGAAAGTCCCGATCCTAGTCTCGCATCGCGGTACTGATTTCGAGCCTACCGAGTCCTAGAGACTCAACAGGAAGATGCGACGTGAAATTATGGAATCCTTCCTCCGGCAGGACCTCCAGTTTTTCGACCGAGCTGACAATACGATCGGTGCGCTCATCGGCCGCCTTGATTCATACCCGCAAGCCATCCTGGAGTTGATGGGCTTTACCGTCGCCATCATCCTCATGTCCGTGTTGAACATCGCCGCGTCTAGCATCCTCGCAATCGTAGTGTCTTGGAAACTTGGGCTAGTTGGTGTCTTCGTCGGCCTGCCGCCTATGATGCTAGGCGGCTATGCGCGTGTTAGGCTCGAGGCTAAGATGGACGACGAAATAGACCAGAGATTGTCGGCGAGCGCTTCGGTGGCTTCGGAGACAGTCATGGCGATCCGCACCGTCTCTTCGCTTGCCATCGAGAACACCGTGCTGAGGAAGTACGTCTACGAGCTCGACCTCGCGATATCTCATACAAGCAGGCCCATGTTCTACATGATGACCTGGTTCTCTCTCACACAGTCTGTCGAGTATTTCGTCCTGGCCTTGGGGTTCTGGTGGGTCTTCGCTTCTTGGATTCACCTCGTGATGTAAAGCGGTTCGACTGATTGACTGAGTGAACAGGTGGGGATCGAAGCTAATCAACGACGGGGAAATCAGCTTGTACCAGTTCATCGTATCATTCATGGGTGTTTACTTCTCTGGCCAAGCCACCGCGTTGGCTTTCAGTTTCGCCAGTAGTGAGTCTAGGAGGCTCAAATCTTGCTGGGATCGAGCAACTGACAGTTTCCAGGCTTAACCAAGGCGAATCAAGCTGCCAACTACTACTTATGGCTCAAGGGGCTTGACGGAACTATCCGTGAAACTGATGACAACCGCAAAGAGGGACCTAAGCATAGATGTCGCTCCTACGACCTCCACGATGTGCAGTTCTCGTACCCTCTGGCGCCTGAGAACCGGGTTCTCAAGGGCGTGTCTCTGTCGGTAAGTACCTCCTGCGCTTGAGGGAAAGTTGCTTTCTATCATCTAGGTGGAGATTAATTTGGGAGTAAGGAGTGCTCACTGACCCTAATCCTGCTTAGATTCAACGGGGTGAGTTTGTGGCATTCGTAGGTGCATCAGGCTGCGGAAAGAGCACTATGGTCTCACTTTTAGAGCGCTTCTACGACCCGACAAGCGGCGCCATCACTATTGACTCGTCTGCACCCTTGTCGTTCATCAACCCTCTTCTGTACCGCAAGCATGTGGCCCTGGTGCAGCAAGAGCCGACGCTCTTCCCAGGCACGATCCGTGACAATATCTCGCAGGGCATGCCGGACCTCGGCGTAACGGAAGCGGCGTCGGACGAGGCGCTGGAGGAGGCCTGCCGGGCGGCCAACGCATGGGACTTTGTATCCTCGCTGCCCGACGGCCTTAATACGCCGTGTGGGACCAGCGGTAGCCAGCTTTCCGGGGGTCAGCGGCAGCGCATCGCCATTGCTCGAGCGCTGATACGCAAGCCCAGCGTGGTCCTGCTCGATGAAGCAACAAGTGCGCTTGACACCGAGTCGGAGAAACTCGTCCAGGGCGCTCTGTTGGAGGCTGCGTTGTCCAACGATCGTATCACCATCGCGGTGGCGCACCGCCTTTCGACGGTCCGCGACGCTAACTGCATCTTCGTCTTCTACGCAGGCAATATTGTGGAGGTCGGGACGCACAGCGAGTTGGTCGCAAAGGGAGGGATGTATGCCAAGATGTGCGAGGCTCAGAGACTTGACGGCGCTGCATGATTTCTTCTCCAAATGTAATAGGATAGTAAACCGCTGTATATGTAAATTTACTTTTGTTTATTAATAAATGATTCAGGTCAAAACCCCTCCGCTGGACCCGCGGGTTTGGTGAGGCTTACTTAATGTATTTATATATCTTGGTATTACCGAATCAGAGAATTTATACTGACATAGATTCTTCGCAGATAACTTACAGAATAGGTATATTAACCCGTGGGTTTACAGGAATATTCTTGAGTGCAACATTAGGAACCGACGTGCGACGAGGCCTAAACACAGTAAAATTATAAAACTTGGACCTAGTTGTGGTTGGCATTCGTGCCATAGATTTGCCCTATAAAATGTAAGTGGCTTGGCGGATTTTCACTTCTGGCAGTTTCTGATCCGGGATAATATCAACTCGCAGCCTCTCACGTATTTGGATCTGTGATACTCATGGCAACTTTGAGCATTCTAGTACATTTGAGTATCTACATTGAGACAGGGATATACAGCTTTGCGCGAGATAGGGGAGAATGTTCTTAGGCGACGACCTCCTTGCCGGTTCCGAACTCGATGTTATACACCGGCTCGTCTAGCGGAGCTGTGCTGCCGAGACCACTGGGACACGAGGGCTGGTTGCTGACAGAGAGGTCGAGGCTGCACACCTCATCAACGCCATAGTGGCAGACAGGGTCGGCGATGTTGTACAACTCGTGGTTTTGGGCGACAAAACTGTCGGGCTGGCTAAGACATGAAGAGAGAAAGTCCATGCTGTTGGCTGCCGAGAGGGGCAGCTTGCCGTTGTCCATGAGATCGGCGCACTTGCTAGGGTCGACGACCTCATACTTCATATGAATAGCACCTCCAGTATGCGGGTCGTCTTTTGCAGATTTGCCGAAGGCGAGGTAGTTCCAAGCGTCATATGATATATCGTACGCGCCGCCAGAGGTATCAATCTTGAGGATGTGGAGGGAGCGGTCCTTGTAGGTGACCTTGACGCAGATGTCATTGCAGTCGACCGCGCTGGGCCAATAGGCCACACGGTTGGTGTTGATCTTGCAGCCGACAACGCCGACTGAGGAGGAGTACTGCACGTGAGGAGTAATGCCTGCGCCTGTGCCCCGGGGGACAAAAGGGATGGTGGCAGCCAAGGCCAGTGAGGCCGAAGCGACAAGGAGTGTAAGTTGACGGAACATAATATAAATACACGTGATAAAAAAAATTGATCTAAAGGAATGACGTGAACGAAAGTATTCAAAGGAGTGTGATTGTATGGCATAAAGAACGAACTCGAATATGAGCGGCCATGGCCTCTATTTAACAACGACCAGCCGTAAGCTTGTGGCTCACATTGAAATTGCATGGGACTCTAGTTGCAGGCTAATTTAGAAATATCATATCTGAGCTAGCCGAAAGGAATAGAGGCGTTAAGGAGCGTAGCATGCCTGTTGTCTGATAGTAAGCCTGAATAAGAAGGTGGTATGGTGTAGCTCTGACCCACATGTTGGCAGGGGAGATTTAACAAAAACATAGTGGGTCAAAAGTATTGCAACTCCGTTAAGCACGAGTAGCATAATGACTTGCTTATTTGTCAGGAGGTAGGTAGTATAGACGAGGGTGTGCACATTAGCACGTTCGGGTAGCTCTTAGGGCCAATCCTTTCGGCCCGGCCGACAAGGTCGGTAGTTCCCGATGATTCGGCACCAGCCGAGAGGGATTTCATTTATAAATAATAAGTAGATTCATGAATGAAAAGAGACGCTGAATCTAGACTATAAATCGCCTAGTACTCTTCTGGCCGCGCAAGATTCATGAGCCTAATACCCTCGCCATCTGCCACGCCACTAACACTAACCGGGGTCCAAAGAGAATGATTATGCTAGTTCGCCCGCAGGGTAACAGGCTTCTCTATTAAAGCTATGGAACATCTATGCACCTGATCCCGAGGAGTCGGGACAACCAGAGTCCTTCTAGACTCCAACTCACATTCTTCAATCACTTTCAGGTACAGCATTCAATTGCCATACCTTGTCTATTCTTTATAAGAAGAATACTACAAAATGTATCTAATCCCTGTATGACGTCCTTCCAAACCGCCATCTTCAACCTGACTGCTGTCTTGGGCCATGTCAAGACGCTTGTTCATCCGGGAATGTACCATGCGAATGACAAATGCTAATATGGCGACGAGTAACGCGATTCCGGCCGTTGCACTGCCACCTGCGATGTACCGTGGGCCGGAGGACGATGGCCACATATAACTGCCATAGATAGAGGCCGTGTTGCCAATCATATTCGCCGTCGCGATTGCCGCGGATCGTTTGACCAGGGGCCGGGGGAAGGAATTGGCCACCCATGCGATAATGATCTGATAGGCAGAAACGGCACCCATCGGCATTCTACACAGTCAGTCAGTCAGCCCTGTTAGACCTAATGAATGGATACAGATACGTACAGAAACATGCCGAAGAATCTGGCACCAATGTTCGTGGTCGCGGTGCAGATTACGCATCCGACTACACTCACGAGCATCAACGAGATGATATGCAGACTGCGATCATTCGTGCGGCCCGACGACCATGTCACCAGAAGGGACACCAGAAAAGTGGCAATCCAGACCGGTGCAGTGATCAGCAAAGTCTCGATATTCCCATAACCCAGTGTCTGGACGATGGTTGGAAAGAAATACTGGAAGTTCTGTGACAGGAGCGAGGAGTGTTGGAGCAAGATGAACAGGTAAATGCGCTTGTCGGAAAAGACCAACCATAGCGCCTCGCGGAGGTTGGTCGACTTCGCTTCGTCGGCTTCTCCCGCATCATGAATGAGACGCCATTGCGCGTATAACTTCTCTGTCTCATTAAGCCACGATGTGGTTGCGGGATAATTTGGCAAGAACAGACTGGGTCGTTAGCATTACCCTTGGGAGGGAGTACAGGGCACATACATGGATATCAACGATATTCCCACGGTGATACACCCTTCAATAATGAATAACCATCGCCATCCTGATATGTTATGGGCACCGTCTAGGTTGCCCAGGACACCGGCACCGATCAAACCGCCAAATGCGTTGGCCAACGAGCTTCCTGCGTAAAACCAGGCAATTCGATGGCTCAGCTAAAGAAGAGTCAGCAATCGTGCCACATATGGGGCTGATGACCATTGAATCATACTTCTTGACGGGTGTACCAACTCGACCTGATCCGATCAGCATGATCAACCTCTTGAGCGCCGCTTCCAACTGACTTACATCAACATAATCGCCCCCGGAAAGAACGGGGCCTCCACAAAACCGAGGAAAAATCGAGAGAGGACCAATCCCGTAAACGATTGGGTGGCAGCCTGACATGCTGATATCACCCCCCAGATGGCCATTGTGATCCCCAGAAGTAACGAGGGCCGGACGCGTGTGAGGAGGAGATTGGACGGTAGCTGCATGAGTAGGTACCCGACGAATAGGATGCTGGTCGCGAGGTTGTAGTCTGTTCCTTCCATCTTCAGGTCCTTCTCTAGGGTGCCGAGTCGTGCTTGAGACAAATTACTACTCTGTCAGTTTCACCGCGATTGATGGAAGACGAGGAGGGTACGTACTTCCGGTCCAGAAAGTTCAGTAAGTACATTAGGATCAGGCATGGCAGGAGGTGGAAATCCACCTTGCGGAGGAGCTGTCTGGTCATCTTCCGATGCCATTCCGGACTTTGGGAGACGTAAGTCTGATAAATCACATCTTGCTCCGACTGCTCAACCTTTTGGACATTCTCAAGATATTCGGTGGGCATATCCTCTGGCTTTGTCATATTGGGATGGGTGGATGGCTGGTTGGAAAAGTCATATCACTATCAACCGGATTCACCCATGAATTTCTCGCTGTCTATATTTATTCGTGTTTGTCCCTCGTCAATCGGGGCATGTCCGATTTCCCCGCCTTTGCAAACGCGGGGAGGAAAAGTTGCTCGGGGTAGCATTTCCCCGGATCTGCATCGGAGCTCAATGCTCTTCCAACTTGGCGCTACTATACCTGATTCAATACTATAGTTACCTAATAGATGAGCAGTTTAGTTAGAGAACACCATTTTCTCTCCAACAAACAGGGGGTGGCCCCTCGCTGTAAGGCTATAAGGAGGCTCAAAGGCTTAGGAATTGCTCATGGCTTAGGAGTCTCTGTAAAAGTATGTTCTCTATGTAACTTTACTAACCACTGGTGGGACAACTAGTGAGGGTTAATGACAGTACTATAGAGCTAACTTGGGTGGTCTTAGGACCGTCCAAGGATGTGAAGTATGTCAACCTCGATTTTTGCCATGGCACATGTATGCTTCATACTGTAGGTCTGGTTGTCCCTCCCAGTAGAGGGTTTCTGGGTCACTCGAGTTATCAAATATGTACTTCGCGCTTTCTTCCGGGATGAAAACTTTCGGCAATCCATTAGCTGCTACCGCCTCGGCTAGAAGCTGACACTGGCAAGCACGCTACATGAGAGTCATCAGAAAACATGCTTCATCCACCGTGGAGCCAACAGTGAGAAGACCATGGTTCTGGAGAATCATACCCTTGCCCTTTGGTCCTACTCAGTTGTGGATTTCATTAATACATGTTTCTGCAGAATGCAGGGATTCGAAAGACCCACCTAGCGCGGTACCAATGCGGTCACCTTCATCCTTCGTGAGTACAACCCCTCCAAAGTCCTGCAAGCGATCAGCGATAGAATGATGAGGGGGCTAAGGGTATTGCCGAACCTGATACACCGCCTGGGCATCCCCATACAGGTAGGCAGCATCTTGGGTAAGCATTTCTAGCGGCCGTCCGAAAGCACTCCATGCCATACCATGGGGACTATGAGTATGACAAGCCACCATAACGTCTGGTCGAGCCTTATGAACCGCACTGTGAATCAAAAACCCTGCAGCATTCGCTGGTCAGCTGCGATTTCCTGGAATAATCGTTCAGTGTTAAAGTCGTATTGACGAATGGCATTGGGGGGAGTATTACCACCAATCGGCACTCCCTCGTAGTCCACAAGGATCATGTCGCTTACTTTTAATAGGCCGAAGTGCACTGCTAATGGGTTCTGCAACGGATTAGCCTTGTAGTTCCCCTCCAGGATCTCCCTTGGTGTGTTGCAGGGCGTACTGTCCAAAATGTGTGCGGATTTTCTGGGTCTCGCACCGAGATGTGACCGGCCATCCCGTCAGTATACCCGAAAGCGTGCAAAGACGCGGAAAGCAAGCGCCATTTTCTCCAGCATACATTACCGCTGTGCAGCAAAGGTCGGATGCTTAGGGATATCAGGAAGGCAAACGCCTTGAGAAATGAGTTGTAGTGGTGTCTCTACCTCCTGCTGGGTTTCATCATCCTGCATGGGAGCCATAGTGACTATCCTATATTGTAGCCGCTATACTGCAAGACATCTTGTGTGCAAGCCACTAGAAGGGTTAGCCTTCATTATTTAAACCAGCAAGGAATGATCTAGTCTGGCGATAATACGTTCTATATAACGGCATTCATAAAGCTTCAGGCTGCTGTTGCTACTGCTTCTACAAGTGCCTACAGAGTCGCCAAGCTGCGCTAAACCATTTATAGCAGGAAACTACGGGTATCTCAAAGTCTAACCGAGTCGAACAACCAATAAGGTGTCGGTCTTCGTATTCTTTGGCCCAAATGCCTTTAGCTTGGTTGCAAATCGACGCCGTGAGCTCCACATACACAACCGAATCGGGTAATTTTAAGGACTATATACATAGAATAGTATCAAGACTGGCGACTTTCAAAAGAAATATCGCATTCTAATTACTAAATTCTTATTATAAACCGGCTCTACGAGCTGGTAATCCATTACGCTTCGGCATGTAACAGTTTGCCTTCCCAATTAGATAAAAGTATGGGGTAAACTGTAAGGGAGTGGGTATGGCCCAGCCACTCTGCTGTGCCGACACCCCTTGCTTCCTAATTGTTTTCAACCTTCTGCTTTCATATCTTGAACTGTTTTCGAATCGTCGCCGCACGCATCTAGGATAGGCAGCGAAGATAAATAGCATCCCCCTTATCTGATATTGAAGAGGACAAGGATTAGTTTTGTTAATATACGATCTATTAACCATTACTATCTCTTACCTTTTATCGTCACCAACTCTTACCTAGTCAACGGGTTATCTATCCTGCTACATAGATCCTTACAAAAACATAATATATGGAAGGATAAAGCATACCAAGGCAATATTATAAGAATGTTAAGTATTAGATAGTCTAAAGCCAACTTATATAAAGCCCCAAGGACTAGTTCCTCATCATAGTGACACGCGTAGAATAATCGAGTAATTGCACTATCTTTACACTATTGCACGCTAGACTTATTTAGGTGGGAACCTAAAATCAGCTACAAACTTCAAGCATAGCATAGGGTCATCATTACTAGTATAGCCCTCTGCTTCGATGTTGTATTTTGCCTTTCCTATATGTTAGTAAAGCTATCTTTACAGTTAAATGTGTGCCTTAAACATACCAATGGAATTTCTCTGGGCAGATCCGCAGTATGAGTGACTTCATATGACCCTGGCTCGACTGGGCATTGGATGGTTGAGTTATAATTTCTGAGAGTTTCACAGGCGTCGAATTCCTTTTTTAAGAGCTTTATAAGGCCAAGCTTCACGACCACATCAACGTAGGCACCCTCTTCAATGGTGTTATAAACAGTCATCATGAGTTTTACTTCGAGAGGTTTGCCGCTAAACTTTGTTAGCTATAGATATAGATATAGAGAGGATGGGAAAAGGGAGATGGGGTGTAAATATACGCAGAAGGTGAATCAGGGTTAAGTGATATCCTTTTTATATCAACCGCGTCGTCCGGTGAGCCGCAGCTTTCATAGCTCCAACCATTACTAATGTGAAAATAAGGTGAGGTGATTGGAAATTGAAAGGCTATGCTGGAAGTGAGAAGAGCGAAGAAAGGGAAAGAAAAGTACATCATCACCGAGTTAAGAGTGCATACCAAGTAAAATAGGGTATATAAATTTGAGGCACTACAAGATTCTGTAGAGATTAGGTTGCTACTTATATAACTAGATATTTAAGTTACGTCATTATGCATAAAATTGTCTTCCGCTCCAATCCTAGCTGATTTTTAGCGGTCGAATTATGGCTGTTAACAGAATCTGGCTGAGAAAACTTAAAGCACATTAGTTCATTCCTTGATCGACAGATTCCCAGGGTTATAATAGTAGTTATCCGGTTGCGGAAAAGATGATACGTAGTGAAAAAATCCGAACAATCCGGAGCTGCGTGTAGGCTGCAAAATGTAACATTTACCATGCCCTCTTGGATGCTTTGGTAGGTTAACTAAGTTAATTCTTGTTTTTCACTCAATACCAGATTATCGTCATACACTTGTTTGCAAAACTTCTGCCCGCATCATAGACTCTTTGATTGTTTCTGGACCCTAATGACGCCATGGACTAATTCGCTCCGGGCATCAAAGAGTCTATGATGCGGGTAGAAGGTTTGCAAACAAATGTAATTAGTTAATGTCAGCTGCCCTAATCCTAAGGCGGAATAGTCTTAGGGCTGGCTTAAGAGGATATAAAAATAGAATAATAATATAGATTGAATAACTAGATAAGATAGAATAGACTTGAAGAGATCAAATGAATGAATATGAAATCTGACTATCTGATAATCAGATTTTATTTATTTATTTAATCAAGTTTAACGTCCATATGGAGCCAGTTGGCTATGACAGACACATGCGTCTGGGCAGTGGTCTAGACCACTGCCCCTAATTTATCTCTAGGAGCTCTATAAGCTCCTACTATCCTTCGTATATTCGTTCTGGTCCTTTTCCTCGCCCGATCCGCCTATCTGCGCCAGAGCATTTGGGCTGTGCCCTCCTCGGTATTTATTGCCAGTTGGGTAACTCCTAGATATGCCTAGGCTACCCCTCCCACTATCCTTCTCCCCTACTCTCTGCTTCCTCCACTAACCCAAGATCTCTTAGGTCATCTCTAGAGATCCTATCTATCTCCCTGGCTGCCTCT